CACCACACACACACACACACACACACACACACACACAACCTGCCCCTCAAGGGACCTCTAAAATTCCAGACTCCAAGGTGAACTCGGCCTAGGGAAGCTCTGGCGTCCAGGGTTTCGCTCCACCCTGATTATGTCCCGGCCCGCCTGGCACCTGGCTCGGGGGCCTGGGGGACCTTTGGCTGTGCACCCAGCACGGTGGCAGCTAGGGACATTGGAGGATGCGGGGGGGGGGGAGCGGGCGGGGCCGGGGCGTGGCGTGACAGGGGCGTGTCAGAAGCTGTGGGCTCCACCCACCTGGGGGCGGGGCGAGCGGGGACACGAGCCCGCCCCACCCCCGCGAGGTCGTAGCGCTGCAGCCACCCGGGTCCCGCTCAGAGCCGCAGCCGGCCGAGCGTCGCAGGTCCGGCAGCCGCTCCAACATGAAGACGCACTTCTGTATCCCGGTGTCCCAAAGGCGGCCCGACGCGCTGGGGGGCCGCTACGTGGTGCGCCTGGGGCCCGGGTCGGGCTGGGCCGGGAGGGGACAGGTGATGTGGTCCCCTGTCACCCACACTGCTCACCCGGTCTTTGTGTCTGCAGCTGTACTCCGTGTACCTGGACGGGCTCCTCTTCTGCCGGGTGCGCTACAGCCAGTTGCATCGTTGGAACGAGCAGGTGAGGGGGCGGAGGCGGGGCTCAGCGCGTCTGCCCGAGGACCGCTCTAGGGCTCTGGCTGTGTGACTCTTGCAAGATTGCGTTGATTTTTCTGGCCCTGGGTTCCTAATCTGAAACTGGGCTGGGTAAGGACTGATTGTGAATTGCTTGACACACACCCAGATGAATGCACGTGGGTTCCTACAGGTGTGAGCTGAAGGCACAGGTGTTTCTTCCAGCCTCATGGTCCCCACCGGCCCACCGGATGGGGTGCTGGGTCTGTGGTGGGCTTCATCTCAGTGCCAGCTGCTCCCCCGGGGGCGATGTTTCCCTTCAAAATGAGTAAAGGGAGTCCAGACTGAGGCGCAGCTTTGGGAATTTCTGCTCGGGTATTTAATCTCCTTTCTCTAAAGAGTTCTGAATTTACTGCCTAAAAAAAAAAGCGTGTCTCCAGTTTTTGTTTTCGAAAGGCCACATTCGTAGGCGTCAAGTTCTGACTTCCGAGGAACCCCAGAAGTAGTTGATCAAGTTAGGAGGCCATGTCCCACTGCTGTCCCACCCTGGAACAACACTGGGACGTGGGGTGGTGCGTCCTTTCACGCAGCCTCGGAGGTTCTCCTGAGTAGATGCGCCGGATTTTATTTGACCGTCTTCCGTTAGCAGACAACTCAGTTTGACTTTTCAACTCTTGAAAATGCCACCACCGGGATCCTTCTTGCTTTTACATTGTAGTGCCTTGGAAAAAAATCCATTTTCAAGGTATGATTAAAGTATGTCTTTTGAGTTAGCAAGGAAACGGTTGTAATGTGACCACTAGCTAAGTTGTACTGCTAGTGCCTGCGACCCAGTAGGTCTTCAGGAATGACTGTCAAATGACTGAACGAAGAAGCATGTGAATTCAGATTTGAGAAAGGTGAGAAGCTTCTTTTGACCAAAACCCATCTGGGGAGTTGTGAGGGCTGCAGTCAGACAGATGGGGAGAGAAAGGACCCCTGTTTTGGACACTGGGAGACATAGGTCAGACTGTTCTCTCCCACCCTGCCTTCTGTGCTGTGAGGGGAACGAGGAGGGGCACCGGGAGAGCGTGGGGCAGACTGACCGATGCTGGCCTCTTGGCTCCCCTCTGACCTTCAGTTTTCTCACCAGAAATTACAAGCAAGTACAGTGGACCCTTGACTTACGAACTCAATTTGTTCCCGAAGGCTGGTTGTAAGTAACTCAAGTTGGTCAATTGCCTTCAGAGTCTCTCTCCTGTATAATTTTAGGCCACACTTTCTTCCAGGCAGATCTCTTTCCTTAAAGAGACACTGGCCCAGGATTTCTCAATTAATCCCACACAGGAAAGGATGTTGTGATGTTCCTTCCAGAACTCTTTAAGGGTTAGATCTGTATCTGAGACCACCTGGAAGCACAAGCGGCCAGCATGCAGGTCATAAGTCAAGACTTTGTAAGTTAAAACTAAAATTCCGGTTGTAACCCAAGTTGTTCATATGTCAGGCTGGTTGTAACTTGAGGGCCCATTGTAAATGGTTATGGGTGTCAACCTTCCAGGGTGCCTGGTACATTGTACATGCTCAGTAAATTTCTGCTAATTCAGGGATTCAAGAATTTCTAAATTTAGCCCTCCTTAACCAACAGATTCAAGAAAATACTTATTTTCAGGAAAAGTTGGAAGTGACAAATCAGTCGTAGTAGGTCCAGAACCAGCAACATCAATGAATAAACTTTTGCTCTTGATCATCTTTTTTGGGAGTCATGAACAAGACACTGTTATTCACTGTAGTGGGCCCTAAAATACCAGACTCCCACAGCTTACTGCCTGTGGGGCTGTAAAAAGTAGATATTAATGAATATATTTATCCCAGACTTTTCACAACCCTGAAGTAGAGATTTATTTGTGCATTTTCTCACTTCCCTTCACTTTGTGCCTATTAGTTTTCCACTTTCTACATGAACAACTTCATTTTAAAGAAACTATTAGATCTTAGGTGGCTATTGATATTTATTCTTAATTTAAAACAGTTAACAATTAAGCAGCTCAGTGTGACATGGTCAGTGCCAAGTACTTTACATAAATTACTTTGCATGTAATTTTTATAACAGTCCTAGGAGCTAGGATTATAATTAGCCTCATTAAGAAATAAAGAAACAGCACAAGGACCTGAGTTTGATCCCCGGTACCAAAAAAAAAAAGAAAGAAAGAAACCAAGGCACACCAAGACACAGTTTGCCCAATGTTAAATTGTTGTTATAGCCAGGATTTGATCTTCAAAACCTTCTCTGATCCATTACATCATGTGTTTTCTTACTATATTGACAAAAATCCTATCAGTGAAATAATTGAATCTAATGATTGAGAAAAATCTAAGTTGCTTTCCCCATATTTTGGAATACTAATGAAATCCCCCAATTTGGGGTGTTCAGTAGGATGAATTTTGTTTGTTTGTTTGTTTCTCTTTTTTTTGGTACCGGGGATCGAACTTAGGACCTAGCGCTTGCGAGGCAGGTGGCGGAACCACTGAGCTAAATCCCCAGCCCAGTATGATGAATTTCAGTAAATCTATGCACTCACCACCACTGTAATCAAGATCCAGGGACATTCCCTCGATGGAAAGTCCCCCTGGCCTCTCTGCCCTTGGTCCTCTCCACACACCCCTGCCCCGGGCAGCCCTGACTCACTTTCTGTCACCGGAGTCCCGGGCGCAGGGTTTTGTGGAGGCTGCTCAGCAAGGCCTGTAAGGTCCGTACATCATTGTCCTCGTTGTCTTCGTTGTTGGCATCCCTCTCATTTCATAGGGAAAGACTCTGAGTGGGGCCACCAGACTTAACAAACAGAAATATGGGACCCCTAGTTAAATTTGAATTTCAGAAAACTAAACAACTTTCTGATGTAGGAATGTCCTGTGCACCATTTTGGGCACACTCAGCTGGCATCCTGTATCTTGTCTGACATTGAAAGATTGGGTGACATTCCCCAATCTTCTGTACTGGTTTTTGTTCTTCCTGTTCTATGGAGGATGGGAAATGTCTCCAAAATTCATAATTTGACTCAATGCAAAGCACTACAAAAAAAGAAACATCAGAAAGCACCCCCTTTGTGTGATGAGCATAAGTTTATTTCCACTATGTTTTCTTCAATATTTGCGAAGCTCCTGTTGTATCCTATGCATTGTGTTAAATTATGTGAAGACTATGGCTTTACCACATGTAACTTTTGGCTGTAAGAACTAGATTTACATTTTGTTTATCAGATACCTCTAGGGTTGAGGAGCAGCTCCTGCCCAGGTGAGCTGCCCCTCGTCCTTGTCAGCCAGGGTGTGTGGAGAGCTAATGCGTACAAGACTGGACCCGGGGGAGAGATGGTATGTGGCTGTGAGGTCAGCTAGGTCCCATGCTCACTGGCATTGTCATCTGCAGCCCTGTTGCCTGGTGAGGCCCGCTCGAGGGTGGCAGCATGCCCTGCTGCTGTTGAAAGATGCTGTCCCTCTGCCATGTGAACTGGCTGGCCCAGCTTCTTTCTGTACTTTTGGACACATAGAACCAGTTTGATCAATGCCTCTGCCCTGGTGTGCACCACCCTTCTTAAATGGATGTAAAGAAATCTGGCCCAGAGTTACCGATCAGGGTGCCCTGTGTAAGTGATCCAGGCTCTGTGAACAGGGTGCCTGCCTTCTGCACTCTGCCAGTGTCAGACATGGCAGTGGGGACAAGTCAGGAAAGAGAGGACACTGTAGCAGGGAGGGAAGACTGTGCAAGCCCTCACACTGCTTCACACACCTCCCTGTCAAGAGCTGACCCATCTGGATCCTCCCATTTCCCCACTCCAATCTGCTCCTGTCAGGCTGGGCCGTTCACTTCTGTTTGGGAAGACTCTTCATTTTGTCCACCTGTCAGGAACCTGTGCTTTCTCAAACCCCACCTCTCCCAGAAGGTCCCCCTTAATTGCATAAAGTGTCTTGCTCTGATTCTTGTGCCATTTTGTGTTTAGATGCTACAACTCAGTCTGCTCTGAGCTGTGGCCCTTTGTCTGATGAGTCTGGGCTTTGATTACAAGGGCACTTGGGGAGGTGAGGTGAATGAGTCAATGTTAGAAGTAGAGTACAGGAAGGACACCATCCATATTTTTAATTCTACATGGCCCAGGTTGTCACAACTCTGGGGTAGGTATGGGGACTGAGTCCAGTAAGACAGGGAAAGGAGGTGATATTTCTAACTGGTGTGTACAATCCCGTTCATGTCAAAAGACAGAACTACATGAGGTCTGCGCATTGGTGTGGATTGTTCTGGGATTTGAAAAAATGCCTGAATGTAGTTTTCTAGGAAAAAAAATACCTCAAACAAATAAAATGCTTCATAAGAAAGGCAAAGAAGAGTTTTGTTTTCCTTTTGCTTTTTAAAAATGTTTTACTGACCTCAACTCTAGTGCCAGGTAATCCTCAGTATGCTGGGGGTTTTAATAGCCAAACTATGTGCTATCTGAGGCCCATGGAAAAGGTTCCAGGTTGGAAGAGTTGAACTTGGGGTTGATGGTTGGCTTTTGGCAAACTTCACTGCCCAATTTGCAGTGTGTGTCTCTTTCCCCATAGCATTAAGAGGGGAGGCAAAAGGGTCCTTGGGGAGTGAGCTGGGAGGGTTTTTCTTGTGATGAGTATCACAACCTTAGTCACTGTTGACTTTCCCCTAGCTCTTGGACTCAGGGTCAGGGGTCGTCCCCCCCACGCCCCAGATAGACAGATAACGCAGGCAGCCCTGTTGTCTCAAGCCTGCTGCAATGAGAACTAATTTGGGAGCATCTGCGACATTTATGAACCCATGCCAAGGAAGACAATTGCCTTTTAAAGATCACTTAATCAGTTAAGCAGGGAATAATTGCATGCAAAGAAGACAAATTTTAGCTTCTGTTGAACGGAATTAGCAGAGATGGAATACATAAATCCCCAGGTTGTTTGAGCAGCCCTGCCTGGGTTGGAGCGCCATCTGGAGTGCCTTTTGACAGTCTCGGGTATGGCAGCAACATTTCCTTGAGTTTGAAGGCACAGTTGTGGCTATGGTATTTTACACTAGGGCTAGATGAGAGGTTGAGCAGGCCAACAGGAGTCAGGCGAGTAATTTGAATGAGATGAGGATCAGGCGAGAGGCAGTGGGTATGGGGCGGCCTGAGAATGTGAACCCACTAATTCCACATCTTCTGATTTTTGAAGAGAAGCCAGAACATTCATTTTTTTAAAGTGAACTGCATTTTTTGGGCAACAGTTTTATTTACAGAGAAGATAGTACAGAGAGTTCCCCTGTGCTGTCTACCCAGCTTTCTCTGTTATTAACATTTTCATTTGTATGGAGTATTTGTTGTAATTAGTGAATCACTGTTGATGCATTATTATTAACTAGAGTGCATAATTTATTCAGACTCATTAGTCTTTGCCTAATTTCCTGTTTCTGTCCCAGGAGCCAAGGCAGGACCCCATATTACATTTAGTCACTTTGTCTCCTTAAACTCCTTTGACTCTGAGCATTTCTCAGACTTCCCTAGTTTTTGTGAAGTGTCCCCCTATTGAAATCTTGTATTTTACCACATAATGAGTGGACTTAGGGTTGTGGAAGGGAAGACATCAAAGGTGAGACACCATTCTAATCACACCTCGTCACGGGTGCCTACCTCCCACGTGACTATGCTAAGTCACATGGGAGTTGCTGTCACCCGTGGCTCGGTTCAGGAAGTGTTTGTCAGGTTTCCCCAAGCAAGGTGCCCCTCTTCGCTTTCTTTCCTTGGAAAGTGCATTCTTTGGAAGGAAGTCACTCGAAGAGCACCCACACTTCAAGAGCAGAGATTTATGCTTCCCTATCTTGAGGAATGAGTTTCTGGATAGATGATCTGGAACTCTTCTGCACAGACTTGTCTCTTCCCTCCTATTCATTTATTCAATAATTTATATCTGTACGGGATGATGGGTATTTATACTTTGGGCTCTCTGCCAATAGTGCTTTATTTTGCCAATCAAAGTGTCTCAGCTTGGGCTCGAGGAGCTGTTTTAGTTTGCTCCTGTGTCTCTTTGACATCCCCATTGTTGATGTTTTCTTTTCTTCTTTTCTTTTTTAGTGTTTCCTTACTTTCTAGTGGTACAAGATGCTCTGGACTCTTCTTGTGCATTTCCCATCTCAGTCCTGGATTCAGCCATTTCTCCATGGATCCCTGACTGTTTTTATTGGAGAATAGCATGAGAGAGCAAGATCAGGTACTAGATGTGTGAATTGAGACTGCTGTGTTGTTGCTTCTAGGCCCTCTCACTTGCAGAGCAAGGACGTAGAGGTGTGTACTGGCCTAAGCACGGCCACAGATCATGTATACAGGCTTATTCAGAAGTATTTCTACATGAATCCATCTCTGTCTACAATATGGCAAATGTGAGTTCATACTAATGCATCCAACTAGTGCCTTACCTCATGGAGACTCTGGCCCCCTCTTATCTGTAAACTCCCACAACCTCAAAAAGAAACCTGACTCCCACCATCTGCCGATCATTTACTTATTTGATTCTGTACACATTCATAGTAGTAGTAGAATTGTTAAACCAGATTCCCACAGGACACCACTCTATCAGCTCGAGTACCATGCTTATGTATTGTTAGTTGCTGGCCCATTAGTTTCACAGACTCCACTCATTTCCAGTTAGTTAGGGTGGCACTTTCTTCCCTCATCCCTTTCAGTGAGATTGTTTTATACATTTGTAATATGGTTAGATTGTTTTGTCACATGCTGTATTCCATTCTGGGAAGCTCCCAACTTCTTAAGTGTTTATTAAAAGTATTTGCATATGTTAACCTTGTGTTGTAAAATTCAGTGGGTTTTGACAATTCATAATGTCTTGTATCCACAATTATAGTATCATGTGTAATAGCTGTGATGCTCTAAAAAATTACATGTGCCTCATCTATGCAATATCCCCCTACCTACTCCAAGCCCTTGGTGACTGTTGATCCTTTTACTCTTTCTATATTAGTTGCCTTTTCCAGAATGTCATATAACTAAAGCCATGCAGTACATAGCTTTTTCAGACTGTCTTCTTTCACTCAGCAGTATGTACTTGAGGTTCATCTAGGTCTTTTTGTGGTTGGATGGTGTATTTCTTTTTATTACTGAATAATATTCTCTGATAAGGGCATATCACAGTTTGTTTATTCACTCACATATTGAAGGACATCTCTGACCTTTCAGTTTTGGAGGGTTATGAATAAAGATGTTAGAACCTTCACAGGCAGGTTTTTGTGTAGACATCGTTTTCAAATCAGCTAGGTAAATGCTTAGAAATGTGATTGCTGGATTATATAGTAAGACTCTGTTTGGTTTTGTAAGAAATTACAAAGCTGTTTTCCAAAGTGCCTGTAATATTTTGTATTTTCTCTAGGGCATAAGTTTCTATACGTTTTTAAAGCAAAAAAATAAATTCTTGCATCAAACTAAAATCTAAAAATCAAATGACGACTAAACAAAATGTGTCAGGGAGCTGAATTTTGCTTATAGATATTTAATACCCTTTCTAGACCATCACTGTTGGACAGAACATTCTGTGCTGATGGAAATGCCCTTTATCTACTTTGTCTGACTCAGTAGCAACTCGCCATGTTTCAAGTGGCCATTGAGCAAGTGAAGTGTGGCTAGTATGACTAAGGAACTGAATTTTAAAATTTTACTTTATTTCAAATTATTTATTTATTTGTTTGTTTATTTTTGTACCAGGGATCGAACTCAGAACCTTGCATTTGTGAAGCAGGCGCTGGAACCACTGAGCTAAATCCCCAGCCCAAAAATTTATGTTTTAAATTTGCTCACAGGTGGCTAATGGCCACCATATTGGATGGTCCCATTCTGGGCTGTCAGGAAGATTCTGGCTTTCACTTGAGTGAGATGGAAAGACTCACAAAGGGTTTGGAGCAGGGTGGTACAGTGATCCCACTGAGGTTTTGGACATGCCCCTGTAGGTGCTGTGTCAGGAAAACTCTGAAGAGGTTGAGGGCAGAAGCTGAGGCACTCTGGAAAGCTATGGCAGGAATCTACAACAGATGACAGAGGCTGGGATCAGCGTGATGGATCGGGGTGGGGGGGGTGTCAGATTCCGGATGTATTATGAAGTCAGGGTCTGTGAGAGGCAGATCTACCAGAAATGCACTGTCACTGTGACAAAGGTAATTAAAACTAATTTTAAATTTAAATCTTGTCTTTCTGCAGGCTCATTCCACCTCAATTGGCTTTTGTTTTATTTAATGCACAGACTATGGTAATGTTAAGATTTCAGCCCTCTTGCTCCAGAAGTACCATGTTAATACCTGACTGGGTTTCTGACCCATTTTTTTCCTCTCTCTCTCTCTCTCACTCTCTCTCTCACTCTCTCTCTTTCCAAGACAGGGTCTCACTATGTAGTTCAGGCTGGCCTTGAACTCACTGTGTGGCCCAGCCGATCCTCCTGCCTCAGCCTCCCCAGCTGGGATTATAGGCGTGCACCACCACACTCAGCTTTTCTTGTTTTAAAGAGCTTGATTCTGTCTCATTTTCAGGCTGCCACTACAAGTACAGGGCTGAAATAGGGAAGACACACTTTGGGTTCTTATCTTAAAAATTAACTTTTATGCTTCTTCCATGAAAGTAGTTACCATCATGGTTTGGGGGCTACGCGGGTGGGTGAGATGGGAAGTGTTTTCCTTGGGAGTGCATGTCAGCCTTACAGGAATTCTATAGCCAGCATTATCCAGCAGAAGGATCATATGAGCCACATAGGTAATTTAAAATTCTTTGGTGGCCACATTAAAAACAGTTAAAAAGAAATAGGTGGAATGAATTTTAATTCTATATTTAATTTAATGTATCCAAGGAATTATCCTTTCAAAGTGTAAGCACCATAAAAATTATTAGAGATTCTTTGCACTCTCTTCTTTGAACTAGGTCTTTGAAATCTGGACTATATTTTACAGCCCATCTCAATTCGGACTAGCCAAGTTTCAGGTGTTCATAGTGATAGCACAGTGATAAATATTTGGTGAAGGTGGGGTTGAGAAATTAAATTTCTAACTGTAATCACTGATGTCACAGATATTGATAAGGAATGAATTAAGGAAATGTATGGTATGGGCTGTACATAGTCTTGTAAACAAATGAAAAGTTAAAATATACCCTGACTTTACTAAAACCAGGCTGGAGGTATCAGTCTGTGATATGTCTGATAGCATCTTTACAGCATACACGGAAATGTGTTCCTTCTTAAGATTATCAACTTTTTCTTTTTTTGACCACTAAGAAGGGGATTTGCTGCAGAGACTTTAGTATCTCGGAAGCCTTGAATTAGTGACTTGCTTGTCTTACCTGTGTGTTCTGCATCTTCCAGCTCCAGCGGGTCTTTGGAAGCAGTCTGCCGCCCTTTCCACCGAAGTATTATCTGGCAATGACCACATCTATGGCTGATGAGAGGAGGGCCCAGTTGGAACAGTATTTGCAAAATGGTATGCATTTGGAATTTTTAAACAGATTTATTGAAATAGAAGTTACACATCACAGAATTCATCCATCTGAGGAATATAACTCAGTGGCTTTTAAAGCTCTCTGTCCAATCATGCACCCTTCATAATCTAGCTTTAGAATATTGCTGTCAGCCCAGAATGACCTCATGCCTGGTAGCGGTGTCACCCTGTGCTCCCCACAACTGGCCTGGCCACCACGCTCTAATCTGCCTCTCTAGATCTGCTTGTTCTGGACATTTCATATATGTGCACAGTCATATGCATTGGGTTTAAAAATGTTCTGTTTACATTCACCCTCGGGATTAAGACAGAACAGAGACAGGGACTGAGCCGCGATGGGAAAGCGCTCTGGAGACAGCAGAGGTGTTTGTCAGCAGCGCCATGGTGGCACCCCCACCTCGGTCCTCACAGAGCTGTGGCGCTCCAGGGCTGCAGGAGAGGCGGGAGAGATGGCAGGCGGCTGGGGCTGCATGCAGATTCTTCCCACAGCAGGAGGGTGGCTGTCTAGACTACGCTTTCACACAAGGGGTGGGGCATGGTAAAATTGGAATTAAAATATTTAAAATTTTTAAAACTAGAAATTCATCCATATACATAATATTTTTTAAAAATATAAACTATGCAAAAGAATAAACAACGAAAGAGAAGTCTCCCTCTCAGCCCGGACGCCCAGCTCTCTAGATGTGAACACTATTCCCAGTGTCTGTGTATGGGGATTTTTTTTTTTTTGAGACAGGGTCTTCCTATTTAGTTGAGGCTGGCCTTGAACTTGTTATGTACCCCAGGCTGGCCTCAAACTCGCTCCTGTCCTTCTGCTTCAGCGTCCTGAGTGCTGGGATCATGGGCATGTTCCACCACGCCCAGCTCATGGAGATATTTTTTTTGTTCAATACAAATTGAAGTAAATTTACACTCTTTTCTGTACCTGATTTTTAAACTTTTTATTCTGAAGGTCTGGTTTACAGAAAAGTTAACAAATAATGTGAAGAATTTCTATATATTATTCACTCAGATTTTCCAATTCTTAACATTTCACATTTGCTTTATTGTTCTTCCCCATTCTTTTTTTTTTCCCCATTCTTATGTGTATGTTATGAATGTATGTGCCTTTTGAAGTGCCAGCGTGGTGTTCTTTTGTTATTTTATTATTTGTTATTTTCAAATACTTGTGCATGCCTTTCCTAAGATCAAGGACACTCCTATGGACCCACAGGATAGTTATCAAAATCAGGAAATCAACATATACATAATAATGTTGTCTGGAGAGCTTATTTATTTATTTTTATTGATTTTATTGATACATTTTAGATATACATAATGATAACGTTCATCCTATAGAATTTATACCTGTACATGATATACCTTGATGCTTCTTCTTTCCCCTCTCTCTCCCCTCCCTTCTCCTTATTTATAAAATTATTTATCCCTCTTCCTCTCCTTATTTACAAAAGCTTTGTTCCCATTTTTCCTTTTATTCTTTTTTTTTCCTTTTCTCTTTCTTCTTTTCCTCCTCCCTAGACACCTTATTTAAACTTCACCAAATATCACATGAATGTCCTTCACAACCAAAGAAAAAAGCTTATTCTTTTGCATGAAAACTTTCTTCTCTTAAAATGTGTATCCTAGAGGCCATTCTACATCAGCAATTGTAGATTTGCCTTATTGTTTTTCATGATTGGACATTCTTCTTCAACACAGTCAAGTTTCTAGAAACCATCGATTTCCCATTTGTTTTTTATAATGGAACCTGTATCTCTTTTTCGATCTGTTGGATGAACCCTTTCAAGGTCAAAATGTAAGCTCTTCTGAATTTCCATTCTCTCTTAGTTTGTTTTCTCATGTCTTAGCAAAATATACCCTTAATACCTGGCCTTTCAGAAATGGTCCCAGTGCTTAAGGGCTCACTCTCGAGGCCAGTTCGTGATCAGTGTCATCGGGGTGTCTTGTGTATCCTCTTGGACAAAGTCACATGGTGCTGCTTCGTGTCACAACTCAACAGTCTGGGCTCTAGGGTCAGACCCGGACTCAAAATCCACCTTTGTTCCTCATTGGCCATGTGAGGTTAGGTCCTCCAAGTCTTAGTATCTTTATCTGCAAAATAGAGGTGATAGTTCCCTCAGGGTCTATTATGAAGATTAAATGAGCTAAAATATACAAAGTTCTTGGCCCAGTATGACTACTTGGTAGTCATATAGCAAGTGCTAGTTGGATGAATCCTTTTCTCAACATCTTTCCCCAACCCTAGTAATCCATGCTAAGGAATGCAAGGTTGGTCAGCCTGTGCACCACATCAAGTCCAGAAAATAAAGCAAGGGCCCCCCACCTCACCCCTGAAGCTACCACCCAGAAGAGAGGGAATTCTTTTCATAAAAGTCTGTCGTGTTTTTTTGTTTTTGTTTTTGAGACAGGGTCTTGCTATGTAGTTCAGGCTGGCTTTGAACTCACTACAGAGCCCAGGCTGGCCTCAAACTCGCCAGGGTCCTCCTGGCTCAGCTCTGGAGAGGTAGGATTACAGGTGTGCACCAGTACACCCAGCAAAAGTCTCTCATGTTACTGGGACTCCCTCTTTTAGTTTATTTGGGAAAGATGACCTTGTTTAGAAAGACACACCCTAGAACCAAGTCAGACAGGGCTAGTTTTGAATGCTGGTGGAGATTATCTGATGAAATCAGTAAAACAACAATGAAAAGAAAAGACATTTAAGAGCGGTTTGGTAAAGATGCCAAATGCAGGGTCCAGGCAGACCGGGAGGGGAGAGGAGTCAGGAGGGAGGAGGCAGCAACACGGGGCCTGTGTTCTCACATGGGTATCTGGCAGGCTGCAGTGGCCACAGCACCTGGCTACTGCTGTCTGGAGCTCTGGTGGGAGGGAGCAGTAGTTTTGAGAGCATATTATTACTATTACTATGTTTTGCAGTGCTGAAGACTGACCCCAGGGCCTCGGGCATATTAGGCAACTACAACTGCTCTGCTGCTGAGCTATGTCCCCAGCTGTTTTCTTTCTTTTTTTTTTTTTTTCTTGAGACAGGGTCTCTCTAAGTTGCCCAGACTGACTTCAAACTTGGAATCCTCCTGCCTCAAACTTCCAAGGATGGAATTACAGGCATGTGCTACCACACCTGGCTGAATGAAGTACTTTAAATCTCTCTGACTGCCTTGCCACTTTTGGTGTATTCCCTACAGAGCTCCCATCAGTCAAAGAGGTGTTCTCAATTGGTGATTGTGGTTGGTTTAAAATTTTTCAAATCACATGTGTCTCACTGAAGTATCTAGAACCAACCTTAAGATCTTTTTGCTTCTTCATGTTAATCAAAGGTTCATCCCAGTAGGGAAGCAAGACAGGTATGCAGTGTGGGTGTGCATGCAGGAGGTGAGATTCCAGAACATCATCACCTTGAATTGTTGCCATGGGGTCATGTTGGGTCAGTGCTCCTGGAAGACAAGCAAGCTTTGTGGATTTTCCTTTATTTGAGAGGTCACAACCTCCATCTCCCTCAGGGAGGCCATAGAGGGCTGGCAGGCATGGAGGGCGCCTCAGAGCCCAGAGCATTTAAAAGACAAGGCTCAGCCTGGCCGGTGCTAACCCTGCTCACTGTCCATGTTTTTCAGTAACTGCGGACCCAAATGTGTTGCGAAGTGATGTCTTCATTGAGTTTTTAAAGCTGGCACAGCTGGTAAGCTTGCTTTTCTTTCCTGAGGCCATTACTGCTCTGCAGAACACATCTCCTTGTTAACCATGCATACGTGAACATGCACACATGTGTACTTTAGCCTTCAGCCCCACAGAGTCCGGACTCTGGTGAAGTAGATTCATTTAGAATAGATCTAAGGATGGCTTCTATTTTGGAAGTTTACACTCTTGATGAAAAATGAAATGTGGCACTTGACTTTTGGTTCATTTTTTAAAAAAGCAGATACCTGTTTCTGTAGCCTAGGTATTGTCCATCTCAAAACTGGCCCCCAAGAAGTTAGCTTTAGAGTGTAGAGAAAGGTGTTCCTAGGAATCATTAAGGAGTCTCCCCCTGAGTCTGTGACCCCAGTTCCGCAGCTGAAATTTCCAAGGGTGCCAAGGTGTAGACAACAGGACAACGGGCCTCAGCAGCCATGACAGCGCTTGTTTGTTCTCTGCTCCTGACTTTCCTGTAAACGGAGAAAACTCAGCCAAGATATGCAGCAACTCCCTTTTCTTGGGCAGCCTGAAGAGCCACTGGCCACTTGCCCTCTGGGATGGAACTTGGCTAAGTTGATTTTTAGCCCATCAGTCATTGTAATTGTACATATGGAAACATTTTATGCCTGAACATGAGCTTGACTGGATGGAAAGGCTCTGGAAGGGCTGAAGCTGGTTAATAATGTGCTGTTGAGTCGCACCGCTAGGGGAGGGAGGGGTGAGACCTTGATCAAATCTGCAGACGAGAGCAAATTTCATTCAGATAGGAGTCCAAGGACGTAGCTATATTTGTGATTTCTCAACCTGAGAAATGGCCCTGGAGCTTTGCATTGTATAGTGGTTTTTATTTTTACACTTTCTTGATGGCTTAAATATACACATACTTTCTTTTTCTTTTTGAGGTGGTGATAATGGTAAAATTCAAACAGCACAAAAGTATGTACAATGAAAAGTAACTTTTCCTTCCCCATGGTTCCCCTCCTTGAGATGACTCCTATTTATGACTCAGTGCACATGTTCTTTCTACACATTTCCATACTTACATATGCCTGTCCATTTTACAAATGAACATACACTTGGCATACTTCTTTGTACTGGTTAGGGTTCTCTAGAAGAACAGAAACAGCAGAAAATATGTGTATAATTATCCAAGGGGATTTAGAGGGCAGGCTTACAGGATCAGAGGCAGAGTCCCCTTGGCTGGCTGTACGCTGGAGAGCTGGAAGAACTAGTAGCACTAGTTCTTACACTAGTTCAGTGTGAGAAGATGGAAGCTACGAAACAAACTGGATCAAGGATGCAGCACCAGTCCAAGGCCAAGGGCTGGAAGCTCACTAGAGAGCCACCAGTGGGAGTGGCTTTGGAAGGCCTGAAGAAACTGGAGACCGAGGGGCCTCCAAAGACAACAGCAGCAAAGGGCGCACCCACACAGGAAGACTATTTTTACTCCATCCAGGCTACAAGCCTCAGTTTATGGGCCTGCACGTCCGTCACCCACAGACACATCCAGAACAAGGCTTTACTAATCTGCTAGGTGTTTCTTAATCCATCCAAGTTGACATATTGTGATTAACGATCACATTCTTGAACCTTGCTTTTTAAAAGTTAGTCTTGCAGACCATTATGTATCTGTACTTACAAAGCCAAGTTTGACTTTAGTTCTTTAGGGCATACATTACTGATTTTGCTTTCAATGATTTTTAAAAGTCATTCATGAATATGAGTGTTGTGGAGTTTTGTTTTATCTGTCTTTTTTTCTGATAATTTGAAAGTTTTTACCTTAGTATTTTGCCTTTATGACTTTATATGAAAGCCATCTGCTCTCAGCTGCATTTTGCAGTATCTCTCCTCCCTTCTTCTGATGCTGTTTTCATTTTTGTGATGGTTTTACTTTTCTGTTTTCCCTGTGGACTTTGCCAGCTCTTTGTCTTTGACCTATTTCTTCAGAGTGGCATAGTCTTATCAATACATCCATCATTTTTACCAGCTTAATGGTGTAACTTTTCAGGCACATTTTTGTTTTGCCTATAATCAGTCATGTTTCTTCCCTCCTGTCTTGCAGGGCTTTTGTGTCGGTCCCTTGCAAATCCTCTGCAGGTCATTGTTCCCCTGAAGAAGGGCCACTGCTTATGTGCCAGCTGTGTGCCAATGCCTGCTGTTGAGAAGGGGCTCAATTAGAGTCCTTGGTGACTGTCGTATTTCTGCATCTTGCTGCTTGTTTACGAGATTTTTTTCATTAATACTCTGCTCTAAGGCCCGAGCAGTCTGTCTAGCAGCTCCTCACATCATCATCTAGCATTTTAAATCCTTTTATTGACTTGGATCTGTAGCCCCAGAGCTGGCTTAGTGGTTAAGAGTTCAGGCTCAGGAGTGAGATGGTCTAGGTTCAAATCTTGGTCTTCCTACTTTCAAATTATATGCTATGAGACAACTTGTCTAACCTCTTTGTATCTCAGTTTCTCCATCTGTGAAATGGCGATAAGAGTTCCAGTCTCTCATGGTTGCTTTGAGGATTAAATGAAGCCTTACCCTTCAAGAAGCACTTGGATATCATCCAGTACCTTAACGTTCAGAAAGTGGTGACCGCCATGCTAACACCAGTTCTTTTTCCTAACCGTGCTGAGCAATCACTTTTAGTAAAGATGGGGTGTCTGCACATCTCTCCAGCCTTCCCTGTACCTGGGTGTTGTCAGAAGGGGCTCAGAGTTCCCCTTGTGATGAATTACTTTGGTGCAGGCTTGAGCCCTCTGATCCCCTGAACACCCAGTGGTTCAGGCCCAGGGCTATCTTCAAGTTTCTTCAAAGATGGTTTCCTTTCTAATTGTTTCCTCTTTGCCTCCAAAAGGAGACCAAGACAGAGGTGCTTTACTCCTGAAGATGTCTATAAAGGAAGTTTTTTTTTTTTTGGTACTGGGGATCGAACTGGGGTCCTTGCGCTTGCGCAGCAGGTGGTAAAACCACTAAGCTAAATCCCCGGCCCTAAAGGAAGTTTATGTTACAATTTGAAAAATGAAATTACATTTAAATCAGGAATTTTGCGTGCTTGCTTCGGCAGCACATATACTAAATCAGAAATTTTGTCCTATATTCATTACACCCCTTCCTGCTTCATCCTGTCAGGTCTTGTCCTGCACTCAGAAAATATGTACGGAATGGTTACCGACAGCCAGCACCGAGCTAGAGATGGAGACATCAGTAAGTGATGCCTGGCCACCCACAGATTTGCTGTGTTGGAGAGAGAAGAGTCCCCGGTGCCTCAGGAAATGTAGATAGCACTGTGCTGGAGGACCCTGTGCCCAGTGCACTGTGCACTGCGCTGTAGACCAATTGCTCCGAAACGGGGCCACGGTCCAGGAGACAGGTAGTGATGTGTCTCGATTTCTCTCCTCTCAGCCCTGGTGCAGCATTTGTGGGCCCTACCACCTCCAGAGGACTCATACCCATTACCTGGTATGCAGCACAAATAGTGTCATTTTCTCATTGTGACCTGGTGAGGAGAGAGCCAGGAGGGACCCACAGGACTAGTGTGTGCTAAAAAAGGTGATACCTTTGTAGGTCTTTGAAGTTTTCTAGGTGAGCAGGAAGGGACGGATGGATGGATGGATAGATGGATGGGTGGATGGATGGATGGATGGATGAGTAGGTGGGTGGATGAGTGGGTGGATGGATGTGGATGGATGGATGGATGGATGCATGGGTGGGTGGGTGAGTGGATAGATGGATGGATGGAGAGACTATATATATTCTAGCTTCTTTTCCCCCATGAAGGGGAACAACAGATGTAATATCTGGAAGTTCTAGGAGACTCAAGACTGGTGAAAGGAAAGCAGAAGCCACTTTTTATGGAGGGTGAATCCCCTCTTCCTTTCCCACCACCTGCAGACCCTGCCCTGACCTCCTTCCCAGCTAGTGTGATGGGTTCAAGGTGCATAGATGCAGTCAGTGCAGGAGAGAGACATGCTCATGTAGGGCTGGTGGGAGGCAGGGAGGACTGGAATGAGCAGTGACACTTCTGTGTGTGGGACTGTGCAGGGATCCTCAGAGCAGGGAGTAGGCAGTGCTCATCTGGAGGTGGTCACTACATCTGGTAAGTGCAGCAGCCTGCAGCTCCTGGTGTCATTGCCAAATAATCACATGTTCTAAGCCTGGCCTTTCAGGGCCCAGAAAATTCAAGGGCATCTCTCGGCCTCCTGCAAGGACAGGGGAGACCTTTGAAGCCCCTTTGAGGAAAGCTGCTATCAAAGAGGCCAAAGCCCAGCCAAAAGAAAAAAAGGGGTTTTGCCCCAAAAGAGACATCTACTCTGTGTTGGGGCTTGTGCTTCATTTTATTTCTCCTGGTTTGTTGAGGGAAGTGGTGTTCTTCCAGGTTCAACAACTTGCCTAAAGATGTGCTTCTCACAAGCAGAAGATCTGGGGTCCCAAACCCAGAACCCCCACGCCATTCACATTTTGACATGTTTAGAGAGAGGGAGCTCCACACCCCATCCCTGTGTGGTCCCTTTCGTGTTGTGGTTCTAGAGCCTCCCTTCCTCAGCTCACTATGTTTTGGATTTTTTGTCTTGCAATTGCTTTAGAGATAAAGGGACTTTTGGAAAGGTAAAACCAATGTCCTTTGACTCAATACTATTTTATGTTCCCGGTTTATAAACCAGGGTATTCATAGGGGCCCAAGGTGAAGTTACGTGTTTGAGAAAAAGGGGACTGAGAAGTCATTTGGAGAGACCTGTGTCAGAGGCGACTTACGTGCGAGGCTCTGCCCGTGGTGGCTGTGTCTGGGGCTCTGTAAAGTGACTGGTTCCCCATTTCCTCTTAATGTCCCCCCGTCCCTCGAAGAGAAATGATTAGGGCACATGGTTGAGTCTGAGGAATGTTTAGAGCTTGGTGATTCACACATGGGTTTTCTTGGCTAAAAAACCTGGAGAATCAGGCTGGTGGTCATCAGAACAGACCATCAACAAAGCACGCAGAGCTCCTGGTGAAATTCAGAGATTTCTCGGACTTTTAAATTTGATTTGCAGGGAGTTAACACATGTTTTAAAGAATGGCAAGGCAGCTCTTGGTAACTGAGGATTTTGCACTGTCTTAAAACTAAATGCATTCTTCACAGTTTTCTAGTGTGACTTGTGCTTTTTCAATCCTGATCCACCCTCAATCAAGATAGCAGCTTATTTAATGTTTTCTATTTCGTACAACCTGCTTCGCCAAGTTGACCTTTCTTTGTTTTCTATTGCTTTTACATTTTATTAATTATATAAGTAATCCATGAAAACCTTCTAGTAAAATTCAAATATATCACAAATAGAGCCAAATTTATTCTTTATTTTTGGTACTGGGGATCGAACTCAGGTCTTTGCACTTGCACAGCAGGTGGCAAAACCACTGAGCTAGAGCCCCAGCTTAAAATGTTTATTTTTATTATTTTTATTTTTTATTTTTTATTCTTTTGGTACCGGGGATTGAACTCGGGTCCTTGCACTTGTGCAGCAGGTGGCGAAACCACTGAGCTAAATCCCCAGCTTAAAATGTTAATTTTTAAAAAATTAAAAAAAATTTTTTTGTACCGGGGATCAAACTCAGAACCTTGTGCTTACGAGGCAGGCACCAGAACCACTGAGCTAAATCCCCAGCCCTAAAATGTTTATTTTTTAATCACAGCAAAATGTGCCTATAGTTTTAAAACTTAAATAGTGCTAAAAAGGTGATAATATAACAATCCCCTCCTTTTGGAAGCAATGACTTCCAAATCTTTTGGCCTTTTCTTCAGACATTTGAAAGTCTGGAGGGTATCCATACATATAAAATTATTTGGTACAATATTCCTCAATTTTTTGACATTCTCTGCTGACTGTTAGGAGGATGAGGATTTCAGTTTCCTTCTATCCCCTCTTCCAGGTCTACTCTTTCCCTAACCTTTTAATGTCACAGTTTAAAAAAATTAGTGTTTTCTTTATTATATAATCTGGAAATTTTTTACTGCAGAATCAGATACTATCTATGATTGCCTTTACTTACTTGAACCATGTTTATTTTTCCTTGAGTTGAAACTGCATTATTTAAAAGAAAAAATATATACTTGGCTGCTCCTAAAACACGTGATTCTTTGCATACCTGCTACAGTGTTGAAAACAGAATTTCCCCTATGATCGATCAGACAGACCAGATTTCTTTTCTTGGACACGATCTACTCAGAGGCGCCATCTTTCTGTTTAAAATGAGGGAGGCTCTGGTATGTTTGCCTGGTAGGGGGAATGAGCCAAGCCAAGAGGGGCATGGAAGAGGGGAACGAGCTGGAGGTCCTGGGTAGTCCTCGAGGAAGGGACTGAATGCCATCTGGAATCAGGTGATGGAGGGTGCCTCTTAAACTGAAGGTAGGATAAAAAGTGGGTGAGGAGGTAGCGTGAGCAGAAGTGGAAAAAGTTCCCATTTTAAGTTTTCTTTTGTGATTTATAGGAGGTGAGGTTAACGAGGGGAATGAGGAAGGAGGTAGGTGTAGTTGGCATCTTGAGGTAAGTGGAGAAGGTTGGAATAGAATGTGAGTCAGAATTCCATGGAGTGAGGCGGGCTGTAGGACTTGCCACAAGAAAGGGCAAGGAAAGCGACAGAGGTCACTGCCAACCACTTTGCTCATCTGACTGGTGGCAGAGCGTTGGGTGGCCCATGAGGCAGACATGATCCACTGAGAGGAGTTATGTCAACCAAAGCCAGCATTGTCACATCAAACAAGAACTTGGAGACTTCAGCCTCAGTGCTCTCTTCTAAAATCCCTGTAAGATACGCATGTATAGTGGGCTAGTTTTGTGAGTAAAGAGTCCATTTCCAAATGCTCCATTGTAGGTGCCACTCTTCTAGTTCTTTTTATCACTCGAGTAGCTTTGGGGGAATATGGCACCAAGATTATTCAAATGTCTGTTTGTATGGAGTGCTGTTCACAGTAAACTCTCCACATAGCCATGTAACTGAGCTTTAAACAAATTAAATACGAAAAAGCCAAGAGCATTCAACACTTAGTGGGTGGAAATCAATTACATTGCTTATGTTAGTTTTATTTTATTTTATTTATTTGGTCTTGTGGATTAAACCCGGGGCCTGTAACATGCTAAGCACATGTTCTACCACTGAGTTATGCCTCCAAGCCCAGGCCTTTTTTCAATCATAAAATCATTTAAAAAGAGGAAAATGCATTCATTTAACTGAAAAGTCATGGAAGTTCAGCTGGGTGCCTACTTTCATCCCCTACTCCAAAGGTTGCCTTCCACTACCTTGGCTTTATTCTCCTGGAGCCTCTCTTCATGCCCTGGTAAGAATGCTTGTTTGCTTCAAGACTAGCAGCCCCAGCTCAAGGCTGTGCCCCAATCTTCCTTCCTCCTCCTCTCTAGTGGAGGGAGCACTCCATGGGGGAGGCAGCCTTACGATGGGCCAGAGAAAGATGAGCAGCAGCCCACTGATTTCTCCCATCCTCATCAGTGGCGAAGCGTTTGATGTCCTTTGTGCCGCGTGACACTGGAGGAGTTTGGAGGGTTTTAAGAAAGGAGCATTTTTAGGCTTGCAGTTAAGGAACTTTCTGTGGTTGCTGGTAGAGAGGTGGTATGGGGAAGACTGGACAGAGGAGACCTGTGGGGAGGCCACTGCAGGAGTCCAGGGTGTTGGGTGGGTCTGAGGTGCTGCTAGAGGAGCTGGAGAGAAGGAGATGGACCCAAGAGGTGATTTAAGATGTGGACTATGTGGACCCAGGACCTGACTGCATCTGAATGTTGCAAATACCTCCCTAAAGCTGTCTTGTCCTTTCATTTCTCACCTGTTGCCACTATAAGTCATCTTGAAGCTATATGACTTCTTCCTCATTCCTGCTGCACCAGTAACAAGACAATGGGGCCACCATCTGAGTGTTTGTAACATTCCTCTGCCATCACCTTCCTGAAGCCTCACCCAGCCCTCTGAGATAGTCATGATTATTAGCCTTATTTGGGGGCTGAAGGAATGATGTATATAGAGAGGAAGTGACCTGTCCAGGTTTACACAAGATCGCATACCATGAGTATGGAAACTCCACCAGAAACCTTAAAAGATTGAAGAGCCTCTGTGCTGGTGAAGATGTGGGGTGCTGAGAGGGTCGCTTGCCCAGCAAGCACATAGGAGCCGCATTACCTTGACCATTTCTGAGTTGTAGCCTTTAAAATAAATCAGGAATAGCAAGTAAACTATTTTTTTTTTTTTTGGTACCGGGGATCAAACTCGGGACCTTGCGCTTGCGAGGCAGGCGGTAGAACCACTGAGCTAAATCCCCGGCCCATCAAGTAAACTATTTTCCTGAGTGTGTTGAGTCATTCTAGCACAGTACGGAGCCCTAGAGGGAGTCTCAAGAACCCCTGAATTGGCAGTCAACTCCTCAGAAACATGGGTGGCCTGGACACCACTTTTGCAGCTGGCATGTGACGTGGTGAGATCTTTAGGACTGAGCCTTTGACTTGTGGGGTCTGGTGCCAGTTGTGGGTAAATCATATCAGAACTGAATTAAATTGTTGAGTACCCATCCAGTGTCCAAAACTTGGAGAATTGGTTCCTATGAGGGGAGGTGCCACATGGTCAGGAAAAAACCCTGAGATGTGGGGATTTTTAGGGATACTTCGAAATATTAAAAACTGTGATGTGGATGATTTTATCAAAAGAGCTCTTTCTCCAACTTGGATGCCCTATTTTTTAAATTTGGAAATTATTCAAGCTTCCTAATATTGCTCTGCCTTGGTCCCTCTCCTCCCCTATTCTGTACCCCGAATCACTGCCTCTTATCTCTCCTGAGGATGCTTGTGTGTTTCAGGTCCCATCTTCCTAAACAGGAAAGGCAGCTGCTGACCATTCTCTCTCTGTGCTGTGCTGGAAACTGACTCTGCTTTCCTTCTCCTTACAGAACACATTTAACATCACTGCTGAGAAAGCCTTTCTGGATATATTTCTGCCCAATGGAAGAAGCGTTAATATAGAAATTCTAACATCAGATTCTGCTGAAAGAGTGCTCGAGGTGAACTTTGTTTAAACTCCAACTCTCCAGCCAAATTTAGGAAAAAATCTGCTTGAAAAGCTGAGACTGGGCTGTGGCCACCTTCAGGAACTTCCTGCCTAGTTATATCCAGTAGATGACTTATCTGCAGGAGGTGCTGGGGTCCCAGAGACTGACCCAGGAACCCGAGCTACAGCCAGTTCTCTGGGCCTCCTTGATTTTACCCACTCTATGAGTGGCAGCTTTTCAGGGATCCCAGAGAGCCTTTCTAGGGGATATAGTCAGGATGTGGCCTGGACACATGCAGAATGGTTCATTATAGGTGCCCCATGGTTTGGAGCAGGAAAGAATTTTGGTACCAGGCTGATACTGGAACAACTCATAAGCAGGTGGGCCATACCAGGGCCTGAAAGAGAGCAATGGGGACTTTTCAAATGTTTCTTCCCAGCCTGGAGGCCCAAACCTGTCTTGCACCCTGCCTCAGTGGGTCTACCTGCAGCCTTGGATTAGGAAACACACCTCCTCCAGATCTTGGTCCTGCCCAGAGCCATTGTTTCAACCCTTTCTTTCTACTAAAGTCATCACGCACACCCCTCATCTCTGACCTCTTCTTGGCTTTCTGTTCCCAACATGGCCACATAGAATCAGCAGCACTTAGCTGCTGAGGCCACCCATTGGGAAGTCTTCCTAGGCTCCTCCCCTTTCCTCAAGCCCCACTGATCCTGTGCCCCACACATTTCACACATCCATCACCCTCTCCATCTTTGTGCCTAGGCTTAGTCCGGCCCTCACCATTTCTCAGCTAGATTTCTACAGCTACTTCTAAGCTAGTCTCTGCTACCAGACTTGTTAATCTTCTGCTCTGAATTCCAGGATGATCTTTCTAAAAAACATCAAAGGGCCTTCTTGATGCTTGGTACTTGAGAGGGTTTGTATGCCAAAACCAAAATACAAACCACAGTTCCCTCCTAGGACCTACAAAGTGAGCAATAGACACATACATAGGCCAGAAACAGTAAGGGTTGGGGGCCATATTCTCAGATGCACTGGGGTCAGGCAGGTGACATGGAGGCCCAGATGACACAGGTGCAGTGACACAGGTACAGGTGATACAGGGGCATAAATGACATGGTCCTGGTGACATACATACAGCTACAAGGTGGAAGGTAATTTAGAAATCGTTGGGATAATACAGACCTGGAGAGCACTTGCCAACCTAAAGACATTGTCATTGGCATGGTTTTCACACCCTGGGCTCCCTGCCTAGACTAGACACACCTACAGCAGAAGTTGTTGTTGTTGGTGGTCGTTTGGGGTCTCCTATCTGCTGGGTTAGGATGAGCCCTGAATCCAAATTATAGCGCTGCCACATAGTAACTGTATGAGTTTGGCAACTTATTTAACCTTTCAAGATAATGTCTAAGTAACTGTAGAAATAGTCCACATTCCATAACCAATGGCAGTTATGGGTATTGATCATTACTGGCATTGAGTGTCTAGATGTTCATTTGTTTGAAACAAGATCTTGCTATGTAATCCAGGCCAGCCTTGAACTCATTATATAGTAGTCCAGGCAGATCTCAAATTCACTATCCTCCTGCCTCAGCCTTCTGAGTTCATGGCCAATAGGTCCTAGCACTTGTGTTGTTATTGCTATTAGAGGGAGCAATGAGTAAGTACTGGGTAGGGCACTAAGTCTAGGGCTCCACAGTACAGATTGCAGCATCCCTAATCCAAACATCCAGAATCTGAAATGCCCTAAAATCTGAAACTCTTTGAAGGCCAACATGATGCCACAAGTGGAAAATGCCTCACCTGTCCTCATGTAGTGCCACAGCCAAAATGTAGGCTCCCTAACAATAGCATATAAAGTGATCTTCAGGCTATGTGTGTGAGGTGTCTATGAAACACAGATAAATCTCATGTTTACAGTTGGGTCCATTCCTAAGATACCTCACTCTGCATACGCATATATTCCAAAATTTTAAAATTTCAGAATATGAAACACTTCTGGTCTCAGACACTTCAGGTACCATCTGTTTTGTCACTGCTTTTGCAACTAATGGTGCACATTGATGAGCTGCATCCGTGGCCTTAGAATCATGTATGTGCTTTCTCTCATCTAATCACATTGGCTTGTGAGAAGCTCAAAGAAGCAGCACTGACATTAGATCTTCTCGGTTTAACCAGAGGCTCCACCAGAAGTGGAGGAATTTCCACAGAAGGCAAACAAGCACTTTCCCAGATCTAGACAGAAATTCCCCTCCAGGGGCTGTTTGTTTTTCAGGATCACTAACATTTACGAAGAGGAAAAATAGTATGTTTCTTATTGTGTGGATGTTCCTTACTCTCAAAAGGTGTCTGTGTTTATATCTTTGTAAATGATTGTGTTAGTCAGTTTTCAATTGCTATAACAAATACTTGAGGTAAATCAGTGTATACAGAGAAAAGGTTTATTTTCAGTTTTGGAAGTTCTGGTCCATGACCCATTGGTCCCATTGCTTTCAGCTTGTGGTGGGTAGCACATCATGGTGACACAGGTGACAAGGTTTAGGAGACCTAGGCACAGCTGCAAGACAAAGCAGAGAGACAGACAGAGAGAGAGACACACACACACAGACAGACAGACATCCTCCTAGATCCCACTCTTCACGGTTCCACTATCACTGAGTAGCACCCAGCTGGGGACTAAGCCTTTGACACATGGGTTTTAGGGGGAGATCCAGCTCAGAACTGTAGCAATTATAAAAGGCTTTTCCTTTGTCTCCACTCCTCTCTTCTATCTCTCTTAGCATGGAAGCTTGTGGTTTTTGCTAAATGGGCCAGGAAAGAGAGAAATGGAGTGAGTGGACATGCGTGAGATTTACCTAGGAAAAGATGTCTATGGTGCTGTTTCCTCCCCCATACTCACTCCCAAAAAAGGGCCCTGGATTTTGACCTGGGTACTTTGCAAAGGCGTGAAGAGAAGGGTGAGAGAGAAAGCAGGGGAAAGGGTGTGCACATGGTGTAAAAGATGTGAAACCATTCCCAGGCTATTCTTCATTTTCAAAGCAATGCCAAGAATGCACATTCATCCCAGCCACCTAATCAGATGGTCTCGCGAGGTAATTGACAGATCTCTACCAAGAAAATTACCCCTTTGAGAAGCTGGTATTTGTCCAGCTGCCACCTGGAAACCTGGCATAGTGCATAGAAAGTCAGTGTTGGAGAGGGAGCTTGCACGCAGAGCCTGAGTGGGCACAGGTGCGTGGTTACAGTGGGGCAGGGGGGTAAATGTCAGTGTTCCTTGGTACAGGGAGGTGACCAGACATGATGGTAATGAACTGCGCATATTTTTTAAAACCAGGAGAAAGGATTTTAAATGTTTTCACCACAAAAATAGATAAATGTTTGAAAAATTGATCACTTACCCTGATGCTCTGGTTTATGTCTAGATGTCCCCCTAAAGCCTCATGTGATCATGGACAGGAGCTTTGGAAGGTGATTGGATTCTGAGGACAAAAAGCTAACTTGCTGTTAGGAGGTGGGGCCTGGTTGGAAGAGGCAGTCATTGTGGGCATGCCCCAGGTTAAATCTCCCTTCCTGGCTCCTCCCTTGACTCTGGTTCCCAGCCACCATGAGATGAATAGCTATTCCTCCGCTATGCCTCTCTGCCATGCTATTTCTTCTTTAGAACCAGTTGACCATAGACTGAAGCCAAAGTAAACCTTTCCTCCTTTCACTTGTGGGTTTTGTGCCTCAGCAATGAGAAATTAACTAAGATACCTAATTGAAATACACAGTCTACACACATATCAGAACAACACATGGTATGCCATAACTATGTATAATGTTTACATGTCAATTTTTTTGAAAAAGAAAAAGACTGGAAGTGCCAGGAAATCATTTGCATGCATTTAGTCTTAAAGAGAGCCCTGGGGCACAGCATTGGGAGGGAGGGAAACAGTCTGGTGTGTTGTACAAGTTCCCACTGAGGGAGGGTCAAGGGAGGCCCAAAGTTGTGAGGTCACAGCTTGGTGACCCAGTGGTGAAGAGGAAACCACTGGTGTTGAAATGACAGCCAATTGATGTCACCATCAAAGAAGAACATGGAAGGAGGGAGCCCGTGCCTGGGGTCTGAAGTTTTCACCGAACAAATATCATAGTAAATGACACTTGACTGTCACAAGGAGCATGAAAGAGAAGTAGGTCTGGGGTGTCGGGGCAGATGGGGGTGCATGCGCTTTTATATGCCAGCTGAGTAGTGGCAAATGCCGCTCGGAGTGGGTAGTAATCCAGCCCACAGGAAGGTGAGCTGCTGTGCCGGCCCTGGGACAGATGTGACAGAGGGACAGGTGTTTATAGGGAATGGCTGCTGCCCTCCAGGGACATTGAGCACCAGGATGGATCAGTGTCTGCACCTGAGGTAGGACACTGGCCTCAGTGGAAGTTGTCCATTGTGGTAGAAATGGTTTGCATTTTCTTCACTGTAATTTTTTGTATTTCTAAGTTTTCTAAAATGAGTAGGTACCATTTTTAGATTCCAAAAAAGGATTCCAGGTGGCCTGTGAAAACAACTTGTTACTGATGGATCCAGATCACTTCCCCTCTGCGTGTCACAGTCGGAGGGGGTGGTGGGGGTTGGCATTCTAACACGGTGCTCCTTCTGCTTGTCTCTGGTTCAAGGTGGTGTCACACAAACTCCGACTGAGTCGGGAGCTCGTGGGCTACTTCGGCCTCTTTCTCATTCGGTTTTACAAGGAGGGCAGCCTGTCTGGTAAGAGCCATGGGGGCAGCCAGGAGGCAGGGAGGGCAGCAATAAGCAGGGTGTGGAGATTTGGGAGTCTTGACTGAGGGGCTGGGCACCCACTCAGGTTGTGGTCCCCGGACCAGTGTCTTCAGCCCTGGCGCAAAGGTTTGGGGGAATGGAAGGTCATGTGTTTGCTCCGAATAGGCAGGAACAGGCAGCCTCGCGGTCAGGAGTAGGGCTGCCTGAATCCCATTTAGGGTGCCAGTCCCAATCCTGATTCCCTCCCACTCTCGCCCTGGGTCTGCCCCTGGCCACACTGCAAGGTATTGTGACATCTGCCACAGCACAGAGTCTCCTTGTTAAAGAATATTTGCTATAAAAGTCGGCTGATATAAAAGTTCTTAGATTCTTAAAGAGGTAGAATGAGAACGTGAAAGCTGTAGCCCAGTTCCATGGCTATTGCTCTTCTCTCCAGCGTGTGCTCAACAGTATGTGGCTTTTTACCTGGAAAATGGTATCATTACCTTAAAGTACTTTGTGTGTCCTCAAGAAGTGGCTGGCAGGTGGTTTTGAGTTGGAAGTCAGGGGCTTTGGGTGTGGGCTGGGCCTGGGAGCTGTGGTGGCCTGGCCTTTCTGGACCTATTTCTCCATCTGTATCACAGGGTAAAATATCTTAACCAAAGGGCTGGGATTTGATAAGAACCAAATAACATTTGACAAATGAACTTTAGAAGTTAAAATTGCATCTACATGCAAGAGAATATTTTAACTCTGGTTTTGTTTTTTCCAGTGGTGATATCTTACCTTCTCATCTTAAAGCTTCTATATGTAAACTCTGTGTGCAATATGAACCAGTAAGACTGTCTTTCGCTTTCTCTAGTTGTGAAAAAGTTGGCAGATTTTGAACTCCCTTATGTTAGTCTTCGAAGTTCTGAAGTGCAGAACTGTAAGGTTGGACTCCGGAAGTGGTAAGTATTTACAGTGACAGGAAACCACTGGTGACCAGGACTTGTTAGAGTCCTCCACATCCGGCCCACGGCTCAACATCTGGGTAGATCTCAACCAGGAACCTAGAGGAAGGTTAAGAGTAAAGTAACAAGGAAGAGAGGGGGAAATGAACCACAGCATCTGTCCTGAAGTAGAGGATGTTAAGGATGACTTCCAGCCCCCAGTCCTCACCTTCCCTGAGAGGCAAATGTAAAGGGCAGGCTTGAGAGATGGGGCGGTGAATGGGGTGGACTGAAGCAGGTAATGGGAAGAGGCTGCTGGCCATGGGCTTGCTATGGAATGGATGACACTGACTGTATTAGGGGGAGGATTTCTTGGTAATTACAAACAGATCTGACTCATCTGTTGAAACGTGGTATTCTTTGTAGGCAAGGGTGGATTCAGCCAATTTGCAAGGAATTTGAACCCTTACATATTCAGTTTACATTCCTAATGGATATGTACCTGGGCCATTCATACTCCTACATCAATAGGAGCCCCTTCAAGGGCCCCTATGGAGAAAATACTGTCATCTCCCCAGGAACAGGAAGTCTTATGGAAAACAAAGAGAAGATTACAGTCAGGAGCACAGCACTTCCTGTGATCTGTAACCACGGCATCTATCACCATAGCTGTTGTGGATTGCTGCCCCAGCCCAGCTGGTCTAGAATCGGAGTCCAGCAGCTTTAAAGAAGGGCATTTTGAAATCTAGAGTAGTCGTTAACTTGGTCTGTGGTGCTTCCTAGAGCTCCAGTTGGGGCTTTGAATTTTGCACGGATATTCTCTGCAAGGCTAGAAGTTTATACATCATTATTCGGAAGTATTCTGAGAAGTGGTCCACATCTTGTGGCATGGAACATGGAGAGGAGAGAGGACTCTGCTCCGTCTAAGGGTTTAGAGAATGTTCTGGAAGAGTGAGTGGCAGAGCACAGTTCCTAGGATCCGAGTATGTGAGTCTGAGTCCCATCTGGCTCAGATTTTAGCTTTATCACTCTAGCTAAGCTATTCGAGCCCTCTATGCCTCAGTGTCTTTATCTATAAAATTGTAATTATATCATTCCAATTTTTTTTAGTATATGTGCTCCCGAAGCCAGCACAAAATTATAATAATAAATAATAATAGTGTCCACTCCCTAGGATTATTTTGAGTAACCCTATAAACTCAATCTGTTTTGGTCATGCTTATTATTGTCATATTGATGATAATGATGATTCTGGTAACCAGAAGAATCCCTGAGGCTGAGACTTTTCATTCATGTGTTTTCATGAGCGCTTGAGATCAAAGGTGAGGTGACTCATTGCCTTGAAGCTTAAACTAGACATTAGGCTTTGCTGATGTCTTCATGAAGTAGGCAAATGCTAGATGGTAAGTGCAAGATAAAACACCTTTCCCCCACAAGCCAGCATCTCAATCCAGGCAGATGGTCCCTTTGCTCATGGCACCCGAGAGAAGAGAGGCCCACTTCTGTTGTTGGTGATGAGGGTCAGGCCTGTGAAAGCGGACAGCTTGGTGTAGCATCCCATGGTGCTGAATCCTTTTTCCAGAGAGGTCTAAATGGCTGGGAGCTGATCAGTTCAAGAGCTTCATGAGTCCAGCAGAGCTTTAAGGATTTTTCTCATCCCTGACGTCTCTGGGTGCATCTCTCCCATGATGACACAGTTCCCTCCAGGCCAGAAGGTGCTTGCTCTGGGGCCTCCAAGCCCAACTTCAGATGGACCTGGGCCTCTGGTGCCACAGCTGCTATTCTGTGCTACACAGGGGTCCCTGGGTTGTAGGCAAATAGCTACATTGAAAGGGGTAGGAATGCTCTGCTCCTTTGCTTCTCCCCACCCCCAAGATGAAGTTGACTTCCGATTCCATTTTCACCCTTTCCCTGATCTGAGTCACCCTTATTGGTCCAGCCACCCTTTACTGCTGGGTGCAGGTGCTGCCTGCCTCTGCTGGTGGCTGGGTGTCAACCAGCCATAGCCCATCCTTCCCGACTGTCTCTATCTGTCCATCCTCAGCATGCAGCTGGGCTGGTGTAGCCATGAATTCCAGCTCATCCTGCTGATTCTCTATCTGATAGGCAGACAGGGAGCCCTTACTGTTTACAAGTCACTCTGCAAGGAACCAGAGAAGCAACTTCTGAGCAGGCCTTGGGGGTCTTCATAGCTGGTGTCAAGAAAACTTGGTCAGAGCAGTGACTAGGCGAAATTCAGGGTGCTGGGGAATCACAGAGGATGGGTTGCTAACACAGCCTTAGGGAGCAGGGACCAGAGGAGCGGACGTGGGGTGAGGCTTGCGGAGAGGGGCAGGTAAGTCAGGGGAGGAGGGCAGGGAGGCAGTGGTCTTCCGGGTGGGAGAGGAGGAGAGGAACCACAGGTAGATGGACTGCAGAGATGGGCACGGGCATGGGAAGAAATGGGTGCAAAGGAAAGCGTGCTGGTCCCATCCACGAAGGGACTTGGCAGTAAACAGGGTACATGACCTGCACCTCAGAGTCTCTGGAAGGTCCCCTCTGGTAGAATTTGTGAGGGTGAGGCAGAGGCCTGGGGAGATTCTCAGGGCAGCGCTAGCAGGAGAGGAAGGTGGCTGCGCACAGGGTGGTGAGTAGGCTCTGGGTACCTGTGGGACAGGTGACCGTGCCGGGGGCTGTGCGCCAGGCAAGAGGCATCCAGAACGTGCTGGCCCAGAGTGAGGCTGGGTGTGAACAGGAGTGCAGACCATTTCCCAAGAACTTTGTGCTTTTGCTTCTTTACTCTCAGAGGCCAGCAGGTAAGAGCTCATGGCATAAAGACAGGACACAGAGGAGGTGGAGGGAAAAATGAAGGGTAGGGTAGGGGGCGGGGCTCTGTGAGAGGAGACCCAGGTGTGCCATTGGCTGTGTTGTCTGAAGTCAAATGATGCTCCTGCCTCGTGCAGGTACCTGGACCCGGCCTTCGACTCCGTGCTGATGGGCTGCAGATCGGCTGTGGAATTGCTCTACATGCAGGTGAGCAGACCATGCGATAGAGCTGTTTGGTTTGGAGTTGTTTTAAGAAATTATAATCCTTAAAAAGTCTATCTCCTTACCTAGACTAGGCAGAGGCATAGAAACAGAAACTAGGATAGAGGTTATCTGGGATAGGGGAGAGAAAAAGGGAAAGTTAATGTGTGCTGGGTATGGTTTTTGTGGAGGCATAATGAAAAAGCTTTGGTATAGATAGTGGTGAAGGTTACATGACATTGTGCACGTATCTAGTGCCACCTCATCTCCACGTATGAATGGGCAAGATGATCAATGTTACGCTATATACATTTTATCACAATTTAAAAAGTAAAAATAAAAGTAGAGGAGTTTGGAAAGAGGAAAGTGAGTTCTCCCTCTATTTTAAGCACCACTCTCTGAATTTGTAGGTGATGCTCTTATCATCTAGGCCAGTGGTGATGGCATGCGTGCCACAGTGGGCTGTTTGTTATCATTGAAAGCCCTCAAAGGTTTGCCATCGCTTATCTAGGGTAGTTTGACAGCCCTAGAAAGGATATCACTGGTACCACAGGTTACACATGGCCTCTAAATCTTACTCTAACATAACCTGGTTTTCCTGGAGCAACAGGCAGCCACCTGCTCCAGGCTGGCTTCATGGGCACATCCCCATCACAGGTCTTTGAGCCCTGGGATTGTTTAATGCTCTGCTGTCAAATTAACTAGAAATTCTTAATAGTTTTTGCAGAAGGGACCCCACATTTTCGCTTTGCACTAAGTTAGCCCTGCCAATCAGGTAGTTGGTCCTGCCTGCCCACTAACCTGCAGGAAAGGGAAATTAGAGTCTTTTCCTTTCCTCTGTCTCTCGTGCGAAGTTCCTTCCAGGCAGCGAATGGTCAGCAGTTCTGCCCCCGATCACGCTGCAGGCCCTTTCCTCAGTTCTCCGTCAGCTTCACCAGCTGCCCCAAGTGTTCCCGCACCTGGGTCACCGCCCTCGAAGACCTGATCCTTCTGGGCCTGCGTGTGACTGTGGAAGGGAGGGAAGCTCTTCCACTCTCTTCTTGGTGCCTGCAGCACTGTGGGCCCAATTCTTGCCCCAGATGGACCCTGCCAGGACTCAGTTAAACCCAATTCCCCAGCTCCTCGTTCCACCCCCTGCCAAGACAGTGCCTGTGGTCCCGGCCTCACATGTGTGTTTTTCTTGTCTCTCCCAGCTAAGATGATTTCTCTGTGAAAGAAGGTATTTATATCCCATCACTGGATACCCAGAATTTAGAACCGGTCCTGGCACAGGATAGGCATCAGCCCCATGGTGGGCCTGGCATTGTTCCATTGAAACTTAATAATAACTCTAAGATATTTGGTACCATCCACATTTCCAGAAAAGAGAAAAATCAAGTTTGTTGGCAGAGGATGGAGTGGTTCTGGCTTGAGTGACTAGAGGATGTACAGAGAGTTTGATAATACCTCCATGCAGGTAGCTTTTATGTACTTGGAAGGAAGAACTGAAGGGGGGAGAGATGCTGGTTGAGTCGTTACTTTTAATGAGATCTTCAAGGGAACAGGAAACATTAATAATACCTGCCATAGTGTTGTGGCTGTGGCCGGAAGGTCAGTGGGTGGACTTCAATGCTTCCGTGTAGTAAAGGGCAGAGGAAGGAAAGAACCTGGGGCATATTTCCTTAGGTGGCTTAGGAAATCAAGACCACTAATAAATCACCTCCACAAAGCTCTCCTGAATTCTAAGGAGACAAATAAAAATAGCACATATTAAATATTTAATTTTACTATCGCATTTTCATGACTAGTCTGTAGCTTGAGCTTATTCCTATTGTACTTTACCCATGCATAATAATGTTCAGTGTACTTATATTCATGTCATATGAGTTGGAATTTACCATCTTGAATGTTTATTGGGCCTCATTGCCATTGTATGCTTGCTATCATACTACATTATCAATTGTGTCTGCTTCATTTGAGGTCACATCCTTGGTTGGAAAAACACATCACCTAATACATTGTTCCTGTAGGAAACCGAGTTTGTGGCTTGGCTTCCAGTTCTCATTGTGATGAGAGATTAGGACTGCTGGGATCCTAACATGATTTTTATGTGTCACTAGGAGTTGTAAACCAGAGAGAAATGGATGATGATATTTCCTGTGTCGTAGCTAGGAAACCAGATGGCTTTGAGAAAAGCATACTGAACTACAAGTTTCAAAAGTGAATTCTATCCTTTATTCTGCCTCCCACCTCGCTCTCTCTGTGTGGTCTTGGGTCAGCCACTTTCTTCTCTGAACCACCACACTGCCCTGTAAGCCACAAAGGTTGAACATATAGTCTCTCTTCTCCCAGCTTTAATAGACTGTTTTTCAAATCTTATCTCACTGTAGAGCAGAGTCTTCCAAACATTGTAGTTGATGTCATAATAACCTTACCATCGTCATTATCCTCCAAATCCACATAGAGGTACTGAGAAGTCTAAAGGTTGGCCCAAGGTCAGCAGGAGAGTCAGGACCACAATCTGCTGCCCTCTTTGGGAAGCCTACTTTGGTTCCCACCAAAAGAAAGTGCCCCCCTCCCTCTGCGCCTGTGAGATTTTGCTCATATCCTCTATTATGGTGCTTTTCACCTAATGTTGTCTATAAGTAGGTTCATGTACATTTCTCCCTAGCCAGCCTGCATCTCATTCCTGCTCAGTCCTAGGTGCCTAGCATATTCACATATGAGTGAGCCGTAGTCATCCTTTAAAGGAGTTAATGCAAGAAAATCTTCTGAGTTCTGATAAACAACAAAGTTCTCATAACTAACTTTTAAGAGTTACCTTTTGATTTTTCTAATACAGGTGTGCCCAACAGTGCCTGAGGAGCCAACTTGTTCCTTTTTCCTCCTTCTTTTTAAACTAGAGGGACATTAACAAAATGAGGAATTGGAGATAAAAATATAGATTTCTGTGTTTTCTCAAAAATATCAAAGATTTGGTCAATTCTGGGCCTACATTTCAGCAGAGCCACCACTGATCTATAAAGAAACTTTGAGCAAATGAGAAAAAGAGACCCCTTCTTCCAGGTAGCCTCACTGTGTGACAGGCCCTGTGCCTTGGTGGGGGAAGTGCTGGCTGATGATACCCCAACCGAATGCTCTTATGCCAGACCATGTTCCCTGCCATCTTGTGCCTTGTTTCAACTGGCCAGAGTCCAGTGGCAGTGCCCGTTTCTTGGAGAGGCCCATAGCCCTATGTTCCATGACCATACCTTCTGCAGAAGTCACTGGGGCATGTGGGACTGAAGCTCATGACAACCGTGGCTGTGTTACTTCTGCTGAAGGGCATTTACATTTCAGTTTTTGAGCATCTCAAGTCCTCCGTTGTAGAGTGGGAAGTCTTGGGTCAATACTTACTATCACAATTACTGTTCATCTTATGTATTAGAGTTCTCTAGAGGAACACTATCAATAGAAAATATATGTATAACTATACAAGGGGATTTAGTAGGTAGGGCTGCAGGATCAGAGACCGGGGAGTGGACAATGGCTGTCTGTGTGCTGGAGAGCTGGAAGGTCCAGTAGCTGCTCAGCCCAAGAAGATGAAATCTGTAGAACAAGAGGGATCATGGCTGCAGCACCAGTCCAAGGTTGAGTCATTGTGAGTCTGCACTGGAAGGCTGAAGAAACTGGAGGCTCATGTCCAAAGGCAATGGTGAAGACCAGAACTCTTCAGAAAGGGGCACACGTCCTTCTTTCCCTTTGCATTCCATCCATGCTACAATCCTATTGGTTGGTGCCACCCATATTCAGGAAGTGTCTCCACTCCTCAGTTTGCCGGCCTACATGCCAGTCATCCAGACACACCCAGAACGGGACTTTACTAATCTTCCGGGCATTCCTTCAGCCATTCAAGTTGATGTATCTGGATTACCACATCTTGTTTGTTTAGTCAGCCTCCTCTTTGACATCATTGTCCTATGCTAACAGTCCTTACAGGCTCTAGCATCAAGCAGGTTTCGGGAAGGATAAAGATGTTCAGTTCTTTATGCTCACACTGATTCCAACCTGGCATGGTGTTCAGGTGCACTTCGAAGGAGAAGTGGTGACAAAGAGAAAGCTGGAGGGAGGCTAGCTGCCCACTTGGGAAAAGAACAGCAGCTTGGGCAAGACTCGGAGGGCTTGGTGTACTGGCCAGACCCAAATTTAGTCTAACTCCTGCCACTTACTTGCTGGGTCACCTTGACCATAAACCTCTCCTGGCCTCAATTTATCCGTCTTTAAAATGATGGTAATTGTTCCTACTCCACAGAATAGTTGGAAAAAAGTCAATGAAAAAACCTATCTAAAGCAGATTCCTAATATACATTATTTTTCTTCTTTTTTCTAAATCCCATGTTGCTTTCCCCCATCCTGAATGCAGTGTCAGTTTCATTTTAGTTTTCATTCTCCTCTTGGAGATAAAGCACACCCTGTGAGCATCATTGAGGGACGTAACATGGATTTCTGTTCAGACTGAGGTGGACAGAAGCACAGACTTTTGAGTGCGTGCTGGCTGTGGGGCACTGAGTGAAGGGCACACATTCTACCAAGAGGGTTGATAGTCTCACTGCGGAGCCGGGGCACACGCTTTCCAGTCATGGGGAATCACAGAGGCACCGGTTCCCTGTGTCCAGCTGATGCTAGAGCCTCCCAGGCCAGGCTCGCTCAAGGGGGAAAAGTGCTGGGTGCCAGAGAGGAGCGACATACAGAAACAGTGTGGGGAGCAGGGAAGACGGGCTGCAGCCTGCAGGCTTTGTTACTTCAGCTTTTCATCTGGCTTCAGAAGGATCCTGCCGGTTTCCTCAGGGACCATGCGCCTCCAGGGGATTCCTGCCTTTGAGCCCAGTGTTGCTCTGCTGAAATCTGCAACGGCTTAGGACACAACCAAGAAGCCGTTAGGAATTTGGAGTTTGGAAACGTTTGCTAAATGCACTTAGCCGAAGCTGAAAGGACAGGGCCCAACAATACATTCTATTTCAATTTTTTAATGTTGTTTGTTTTCATCTTATAAAAAAATTTCAAATATGGAAGACTCAAAAACAAAAGTAAATGCCACCCCAGACTTTGAATCGGCTAATCAGCTATACTTAGACTGTTAACTTTTTCAGTGTGTTTAATATATATATATATATTTCATTTATATATACATCCATTTCTTTGACTCATAACTATGTTTGCAAGGTTTGTTTTATATTTTTTGTCATTTTAGAAAAATTGAGGTCTACTATTATACTCTTATTTTGTAACGATATTCTTTTCACAATATCAATACCTAGCATGTTGTTAAATTTTCCCTGTTAAATTTTCTATATATTTTTAAATGATGGTATTCCCTATTTTTTGATTATATGCAAATTCAGTTGCCTACTTTTGGACATTTTATAACAGCACCTACCTCAGAGCGACTATAGCCTTGACTTTTGTCTTACTCAATTAGAACATTGCCTGACCCATGATAAACACTGCACACTCGTCCTTCCAGCCTTCACAGGATTTGGACCAGGACCCCCTGTGACACCAAAATCCAAGGATATTCAAGTCCCTTATATACAATGGTGTAGTATTTCCATATGCTCTACCACTTCCACCCATATAATTTAAATAATCTCTAGATTATTTATAATGCCAGATGCGATGAAATTGCTGTGTAAACTAATTGTTATACTGTATTGCATATGACAGGGGTAAAGTTTGTGCATGTTCAGTACAGATACAATTCCAGAATACTTTCCATCCACAGTTGGTTTAACTCATGGATGTGGAACCCCTGGATATAGAAGGAAGACACTGTCTAGTTTTGCCCCTATTAATAAGTTGAAAATTTTTTGTTATCACAAAAACACGGTAACACCTCTATCAATACATTTTCCTCATGTCTATGTTTATGATTCTTGTAGGTGGTTTTTGATCTGTATTGCCAAATTATCTCTAGAAAGTTGTACCAATTAAATCTATCACTCCTACGCAGAATGTTCTGTGTCCCCAAGCCCTTATCAATTCTAGTTGTGGGCCAGGGATTTAGCTCAGTGGTTCCGCCACCTGCCTCGCAAGCACAAGGACCCGAGTTCGATCCCTGGTACCAAAAAAAAAAAAAAAAAATTCTAGTTGTATGTTTTAGTCTGTGCCAATTCAAGAGAAAAAAATCCTTTTATTACCAGTGAGGTTAAATATATATTTGTCATTTGGAATTCCATTTGGTCAAATGCCAGTGCATATTTTCATCCATTTCCCTGTTGAGAATTTTATATTTTTTATTGCTTTCTATAAATATTAACTCATTGCCATACATGATGCAGTTATTTTCCTTGTTTTACCATCTGCTTCTTAGAGTTGTTCTTCGTGGTTTTTATGTGTAAAAATGTATATTTTTATGTAATTATATATGATCATTCCTGGCTCATACATTTTGTCTTTATATCTTTAAAAAGGTAATCCTCACCTCAACATGAGATAAATATTTTATCTTTTTTGTCTAGTTCATTTATGGTGTTTTTTTATAATTAAATCTTTAATTTTTGTGGAATTATTTTGATGGGTGATGTAAGGAAAGGGCTAATTTTACTTTCTTTGCTACATGTTACTAGTTGCTCCCAAACTATCAGTCAATCTTTTCCTGCCCACTAAGTTAAAAAGTAACCTTTATAACATGCTAACTCCTTATGCAGATACACTTTGGTCTGTTTTTATAGCCCTTCAGACATGCATATGTTTTTGTCAGATAATTCATTTCGGGTAAGGTTGCTAATTGTACAATATATGTTGTTTTAAGGCAGTGCAGGACATTGAAAAAGAATGGATCAAACCTACGCAGGGACAGAGGCAGGAATTAGAGGCTCTTCAGAAAGAAAACAATCAAACCAAGGTGAGTCAAATATTGTACCAAGCCATCCCTTGGAAGGGAGTTCAAGAAACATTAGAAGTGAGTTGTCGCTATTATTTATAAACCCTTCAAACACTAACAGGGAGGTTCTTTTTAAAAATGAGAATACCTTCATTGACTTTTCTGTAGATAATTAAGAAAGACCTTTTTTATAAAGTCTACAAAATACAGTATGAGTGCTTTGCCAAGTTAATTAATACAGGTCCTCCACAATATTTTTAATGACTCCAGGGTGTTCTAGTATATGATTGTGTTATATTTAGCTTGCTAGTTTCCTATTATTGGAAGTCAGATTGTTTAAAGCTTTTACTGCAATAAATCACTCTGGCAGTGAGTGCCGTGAGACCCAGGACTGTGTCTAATTTATAAATTCTCTGGGTCCCCCACACCTGGTACAGTCCCCCCAAACCCTGCAGCCAACATCTCCACATTCGAGTCTGTGCTCTGTTTTCTTGAGGAGCTATTTCTAAATATCCATTTTAAAGCTTTCATAAAGGTGGTACCAACCCATATACCTCCCGCCCCCGAGCAGCACATTGAGTCTGGCAGACAAGACACATTTAACAGAGGAAAAGGCCCTGCTTCCTGGCTGCCTTTTTTCACTCGCCAGTGCTTGTAACTGCAGCATTGATTTTGAACAAAATGTGACAAAACCTTTAGAGGACTCATTTATACTTAGGTTAATTTGAAAGCCATTCTTCAAAGGCTCAGATATTTTGAGATTTTTATTGGACAGAAAAAAGAAAAGGAAAAAGGAAACAAAAGAAAAAGGCACATACTGCCACAATTTAGTAACCCCTAAAACCTTGGGTTTCCTTTGTCACAAACAGTTTGAAGTTTAATTTCTCTATGTTTGTAAATTTTGACAAATACAGCTTCTATTTTGATGGGTTTTGAACACTGGTTTTACAATGCTGCTTGGCTTTACCAAAATGTGTGTGTGTTTTGCATACAACAAAATCTATCTTCTATGATAAATATGTTATCTGAATTTACCATATGACATGTGGTATGGTCTTCTAAAAACCATTTTGAATATGTGAATTAGATTTTTAAAATTGAATTATTGAAATTAATTTGTTTTCTCTCCAAAACGTCTATGTGTAGTGATCCCCCAAATTATTTATGTGTGGAGTTCTTCTGCTAATGGAGCAAATATATAAACAACTATTGCTTTATTTTATTATTAGTTTTTTTTAATATTATTTAATTTTAATTTTAATTTGTTTTTGGTACCGGGGATCGAACTCGGGTCCTTACACTTGCAAGGCAGGTGGCAGAACCACTGAGCTAAATCCCCAGCCCTATTGCTTTATTTTATGTACTTGTACAGTAAAACTTGAAATAGTTGAAAATGAGTGAAATTAATTCCAAGAAGAGTCATTTGATTTATATGAGGGATATCTAACTATGGGCCTCTGTTATTGTAAATAAAGTTTTATTGGCACACAGTCACTCTCTTTTATAAGTTAGCTACAGCTGCTTTGCCCTGGAGTGCTGGAGGTGAGTAGCTGCAGTAGAAACCTTCTGCCCCTCAACCAAAAAATATATATATGGCTTTTGATAGGACAATTTTCCAACCCCTGCTCTAAATGAAAATATATAAACATAGCTTCTACAGCTGTATGTGTTAAATTGTCTTTTTCAAGTACAATTTTCTTAAAAGAACTAAATTTCATGTCAATAACACTGGAAAATTTTTGTCTCTGGGTTTCACCTAGTAATATTGCAGAGTCCCCTTATGAAAGACAGATGCCAAAAGCATTTTGAGTAAGTTATTTATCACAAATTTTCTTGAAAAATGGAGCTTCACTTTTAATTTAGCACTTTCATTTCTTTTAATTCATTGCAGCCAAGAGATTCTTGCAATCACTGACCTAAATCCCCGGCCCAATTCTTGCAATTTTTTTAAAAAGTGGTACTAAATCATAAAGTGAGCAATTTTAGATTTATACTATATAATACTATATAATAAGCTAAAAAGTATCATAGTAAGAGCATGACACTGCTCTCTCCATCCTTGGTGACAGAGGACTCAGCCCTGTAGTGCTTGGTGTTTCTCACTGACCCAACAGGAGACCCGGTAGCTTAAGGCGTCTCTCAAGCGAAGTGTGGTCCAGCACAATGAGCCAGACCACATGGCACACAGGGCATAGCTGCACACACGTGTCCAGTCGGCAGCAAGAGTTCAAGGCTGTGCTGTCCCTCACCGCTTCTGTGTTGGTACATTTATATTTCACTTTATCAGCAAGCACTTGACATAGTCCTTGAAAAGGACCAAGTTTCCTGGCTTCAAGAAAGGATCAAGAAAGAGCAAGGCTGTCCTGGGCCGTGTGGCCTTTCTGATTTAACCATATGCTGAAGTGACAACTCTGCTGTCTCCACACACATCTCACACACCATTAAGTCACGACCGCAGCAGAGGCTGCAGGGATAAGGTGGAGTTGCCAAACCACCGTCAGCTTATCCAAATGCAATTACTAATGGTAAGACGTAGTTTAAAAATGAGAAGTCCCGGTCAGACGTTGACAGGACAAGCTACAGGGACCACAGTGTGAGCTGCATGCGTCCTGTGTTCTTAGATCACTTCAGAGACAGAGGGAAAGGCTACATTTCCAAGTGACATAAAAACGTTCCCTTTGGCATCTGGAGCTGTCCTTAGGGAGCAGCCTACTGGCCTTCATTTCATTGCTGTTTCCAAAATCTTTTCTCTGACAACTAATACCGCCATTATATAAATGAGAAAAAGTGAACTACTTTTCCTCCTACATAGATCTCAGCTGAGTTTTTTTAAAGGATGGCATTTTAAATACACCCTTTTTGTTTATATTGCTGAGATAAAATCATTTCTACCCATTTGTTTTATTCAACACCACTCTTTTTCTCACTTCATCCCAAATATTTTCCTTCTCTCCCTGTGCCAGCATGGACACAGTCTGTGATGAGCTAGGCAGGGATGGTCCCAGCCCTGGCAGGCACACCACGACCTTCCTGGGGGCTTATTGTCAGTCCCTCGGGCAACGGGCATTGTGGCCCAGCAGAAAAAGGCTGTCCTGTGTGAATCCCGCATCTCTTGCTGGAGCAGCAGCTTCTCACTTGGGGTTTTCATTGGCATCAAGTGGTCTTTTGCTTCCTTTTTGGAGCAGTTCCTGCAGCTATGCCAGGAGGTACAGCACTATGGATACATGCAGCTGGATCCCTGCCACTGTGATTCCCCAGAGCCAGGCTGCAGGGCCGTGCTCTCTGTTGGCAACGATGAGATCAACTGCTGCATCACCCTGCCTGACAACCGGACCCAGGACGTCGTCTTCCAGATGAGCAGGGTGAAGTGCTGGCAGGTCACTTTCCTTGTGAGTATCTTGGCACCTTGCTTTGCCCATCATTTAAAATCCTGCTTTTCTCGGAGGACAGAGTTGGCACTAGGGAGACAGGTTTGACATTTAAATTAGTACCTAGAGGGGAGAGACAACTAAGCTACACTAAACATCACCTGATGGTAAATGCCACCCATAGTTGGTGCAGGTCCCCCATCTGGGGCAACAGAAACATCAGTCTTCCTCCTTCCATCAATAGGCTTCTCTCCTGCTTGAAGGGCAGTTAGAGAAATATAACGATAACTACACCCATTGGTTGAGCTTACCGTGTGCTCGGTGCTACCAAGGCACTGAATGCTGACCAGCAGAGCCCTTCTGAAGGAGCCTTGGCATCATGCTTGGCCTCTCCTTGCAAGACAAACCTTAATGATCAGACTTATTGAAGCCTACTTTATACCCAGTGCTGTGCTGAGCACTGCCACACCCATTACAGTGGTACCTCGGTTCACAAACTCAATACTCTCCGTGATTCTGGTTGCAAACCAAGCAGAATGTGAACCGAGTCAAATTTCCTCATAAGGGGAAAACTCTGTGACCAGAATTGTGGAAAGAATCAAATTCACTGGGCCGGGGATTTAGCTCAGTGGTTTCACCGCCTGCTGCGCAAGCACAAGGACCCAAGTTCGATCCCCAGTACCAAAAATAAATAAATAAATAACCAAAAAAACAAGAATCAAGTTAATGAACCGAGATATCACTGATTAATTCTGACAGTGGGTTAATTGGGATTATCTGAACCCCCAAGGGAATTGTTAACTGGCCCAGGACTTGGCCTTTCTCTAGCATTTGAAACTGTTCGCATTTCCTCCATTCCCAAACTCCCTCTCCTTCCTCCCCTACTTTTGTGGGCCACTTCTCCCTCGAAGCCTTTCTGTAGTGCTGGTGTTTCCTGGGGCTCCTTTCCTAGCATCTTTCCTCTACCTCTTCTCTGAAATCAATTACCCAGGTCCCTCTCAGAGGCCCAGTGTCCCTGCTGCCTCTGGCCACCTTCCCCAGGGGCATCACCAACGTGGCAAACTCATGTACCTGGCCACCTTCTTCCTCCATCTTGCCAAATGGGACTTCTACCACCACGTCCTGATTGCCAATCTAGAACATGGCAACCATTTTCAACTTTCCTCTCTCTTGTCCTACACATTTAAATGCTGATGGAGACCTAGCCAATCTACTTCCTTGTTATTCCTCAAAACTTTCCTTTCTCTCTGCCTTCGCAGCTTGGTCTCGGCATTCCCTCCATGCAAGGAATAAATGGCTTCCTAACCCTTCTCCTTGCTCCAGTCTCTTTTTCCAGTCTCTTTCCCTTCTTTTTCCCCCTTTTGAGTCAAAGAAAATACATGTATGGTTTCAATGTGTTTTAAACAATGGAAATTTGTTTTATGGTCAAAGGCTTGATCTATCTTGGTAATGTTCCACATGCACTTGAAAAGAAACTCTTCTCCTGTGGAGTGGAGTAGCCTGTGCATATCAATTGCTTTGGAGGTTGGCTTTCTTTTTTCATAGCACAATTCTTTGGCAATTCATCCAGGTTGCTGTATCAATAATTTGTTTCTTTTTATTGCTAGTAGTCTGTGTTATGGGTGTACTAAAATTTATTTAACTGTTCACCCATTGAATGACATCTAGTTATTTGCAGTTTTTAGCTATTATGACAATAACTGCTATAAATATTCATATACTGGCTTTAGTCTGAGCATAAATCTTGAATTCTCTGGGATAAATGCCCAGGAGTGCACTTGCTGGGTCATATGGTAATTTCATGTTTAGCTTTTTAATAAACTGTCAAACAGTTTTTGAGAGTGGCTGGATCACTTTACATCCCCACCAACAATACGTGAGTGGTCCAGTTTCTTTGAATCCTCTTAAGCATTAGGTGTTGTCACTATATTTTTTTTCTTTCATTCTGGTAGGTGTGATAGTATCTCATTGTGATTTTCATCTGGACTTTCCTAGTGGCTAATGATGTTGAACATCTTTTCCTGTCCTCATTTGTCACCTGTCTACCTTCAGTGAAATATCTCTTCATTTCTTTTGTCCATTTTCTTTTTGTTTTGCTTTGTTTTGTTTTTACTGTTGAGTTTTGAGAATTCCTTCTGTATTCTAAATGCTAGTCCTCTGTTGGCCATTTGTTTTGCAAATATTTTTCTCTCTGTAATTTTCCATCCTCTTAATAGAGTGTTTTGCAGGGTAAAAGATTTTTACTTTGTTGAATCTGGTTCATCATTTTTTTTTTATGGATTATGCTTTCATTCTCTAGTCCAAGAACTCTTTGCCAGACCCTAGACCATGAAGATTTTTTTCCTACATTTTGTGGTTATGTATTTTACATCTAGGTTTATGATTCACTGTGAATTAATTTTTGTATAGGGTCAGAAACTGAGATAAGTTTTCAGTTTTCACCTCTGGAAGTCCAGTTGCTCTAGCACATTTGTTGAAAAGGATTTCTTTTCTCAGTTGAACTGCTTTTGTACCTTTCTCCAGAGACAAAGGGTATAGCTCAGTGGCAGGGCATGTGCTTAGCATGTGCAGGGCTCTGGGTTTGATTCCTAGCACCCCTCAAAAAATTAGTCAGGCATGTTTGTGCCGGTTCCCTATTCTCTTCTGCTGATCTGTCTATTCCTTCACCACTATCACATAATATTTTTCTTCCTCTGAAACAGTTTTATTGAAATATAACTTAATATACTATGTAACTTGCCCATATGAAGTGAAGGATTGGTTAGGATTTAATTTATTCACAGAGTTACGCAGCCATCATCACAGTCAATTTTAAAGCATTTTCATAACCCAAAAAGAAGCTGCACAGCCTTTAGCTGTCACCGCCCTATCTCTAAGCACTGAGAAACAACTAATCTACTTTCTGTCTCTATAGATTATATTCACCTGTTCTGGACATTTTATGGTACCGGAATCCTAGTCTCTGCTCTTTGTGACTAGCTTTTTACTTAGTGTAATGTTTCCGAGTTCATCTTTATTGTGTATGTATCAGCACTTTATTGCTTTTAATGGTCAAATAATAGCCCACTATCTGGATATACCATTGTATTTATCCATTCATGCCTCGATGGACATTTGGATTGTTTCTACCTTTGGCTGTAATGAATTATGCTGCAAGGAACATTTGTGTAAAAGCTTTGAGTGGACATATGTTTTCATTTCTCCTGGGTCTGTACCTCTCGAAGTGGAATTACTGGGTCAAATGGGAATTCTGTGTTTAGCTTTTAGAGGAACTATCAGCCTGTCTTCCAGATTGGCAGTACCATTTGGGCTCCCCAGCAGACACTGAGGGTTCCAGTTTCTCCATGTTCATGTCAGTACTTATCTGATTTTTAAAGTTACAGCCAACCTAATGGTATGAGGTGGTATCTCATTATGATTTTCTTTATTTCAGTTTTATTTTTTCTGTATAAGCTTCATCTTGAGTGATCTTTTTTTTTGCATTGTTTTAACCTAATATTTATCCTATCCAGTGCATTTTTACATCTAATGTTGTATTTTTCATCTCTAAAAGTTCCATTTGGGTCCTTTTTATATCTTCCATTTCCTTCCTTGTGCTTAGTTTTTCTTCTAAATTCTTTTATATTTATTCATTCACTTTTTGATTTATTGAGACAGTCTCCCTATATAATTTAAGCTGGTCTTGAACTCACTTTGTAACCCAGGCTGGCCTTGAATTCACAGCAGTTCCCCTGCCTCAGCCTCCTGAATGCTGGGATTATATGTGCATGCTACATGATTGGCTCTCTAAATTCTCAAGTGTCCACACACTCACTGTATCCTCACACGCATTGTACAGTGATATTGTGTATACAGTGGAGGTCTGATCAGAGTGTAGCAGAGCTGGAAAACTATTTCCTGGTGATGTAGCCATTATACCATCAGAGCACTATGCATTACATGTTTGTGGGGATGTTGGTATAAATAAACCTATTGCACTGCCAGTCATATAAAAATAGCATATACAGTTATATACTTGAGAGTTATAATAAAAGACTATGTTACTGGCCTATGTATTTATTTTACTATAATTTTTATCATTAAAGTGCACTTCTAAATTCTGAAACAAAGGTTACTGTGGACCAGGCCTCTGTGTTACACAGGCAACAGCCTCATAATCTCATGTCTATACCGTGTCTCTTGCTTATATCAAGAGGCCACGTTGAGCTGACTTGGGGGCCTGGGGGTGTGGCTTAGCAGTGGAGCGTGTGCTCAGCATGTCCAAGGCCTTGATTTACATCCCCAGCAACTCCCCCCTCCCCACAAAGAATGCGATGTCACGTGACATGCCATCTAGATCTGCATAAGCGTGCTCCATGATCGCCACAGAGTGACAGAATTGCTTAACAGTGAATTTCTCAGAATATTTCCATCATTAAATGATGCATGACTGTAACTGTTAATATTTTTGCTACTAATATCTTCATCTCTATTACTTCCAAGTCTGTTTCTATTGATTGATTGCTGTCCTGTTTACAGTTCATATGTCTTTCTCCTTTGCTTGCCAGGTAGTATTTCATGGTAACTGAACATTGTACATTTCATATTGTTGAATGCCAGATTTTTTTGTGTTCCTTTAAATAGGATTAGATTTTGTTCTACCTTGCAGTTAAGTTACTTGGGATTGCATTTATTGATCTATTCGTTTGTTTAAAGATTTCTGTTAAGCTCTCTTAAGTTAGGTCCAGAGCAATCTTTAGTCTGGAGCTAACTTAGCCCTTTTCTTATCAGCTGCCTTTCTTCTGACTCCACCCTAAAATCTCTCGCCCAGTGTGGCCTCTCTTCTCTGGCTGACGGAAACATAAGCTCTTTCCAGCCTTGTTTCCAAACTTCTGAAATTGGTCAGCTCACTGCTTTTCAATGGTTCTTTTCCTGGCTTCAAGGAGTTTCATTGCACACATGCCCAGATCATTATTCAGCCAAAGAGTTGAGAGGAACTCTCTGGAGTTTGTGGTATTCTGCTCCATACGTTTTAATCTCAACAACTTCAACATTTCTCTCTTTCTCCTCCACTCAAAAAAAGCTCTGGGCTCTGTTTGGGTTCCCTCTCCTTGTGCTACCTCCTGGAAATTCCTTCAAGTAATGACCTGGGTTAATCGTGGGCTGATCTCATTTGTTTTCCTGTCCTCTGGCATTATGTGGGGTTTTTGTTTTGTTTTGTTTGGTACCGGGGATCGAACTCGGGTCCTTGTGCTTGTACAGCAGGCGGCAGAACCACTGAGCTAAATCCCCAGCCCTTGGCATTACATGTTATTCAATGTCTGAAAGCAGCCATTGCTCAATTCATTTTCTACACTGATGCTTTCAGACCAATCACTCTAAAATATAAGTCCAGTATTATTATGTAGCTTTTAACATTGCTTAGTGAAAGTCTGTTGCCCTCGGGATAAAGTCTGACATTCTTAACCTATCTTATAAAGCCTATGAGAATTGAGCTTTTTGGTGGTAAGCAACAGAAACCAATGTGTCTGACTCTAGCAAAAGAAAGAAACCATTGGAAGGATATGGAATAGCATACAAATTCAGAGGAAAAGCCAAAGCAGAGACCTCAAAAAGTCAGGAACTAAAGGAGCTCAGGTTGTCTAGGAGATAAAAACTCCATCTGGAACTGTTCCCTGGGTCTCTCAACTGTCAAATGAGGGGCCCAGAAAGTATTTGTCCAGTTGCCCTCAGTGTGGACCATATGCCACTCTCTGACTTGTTCCTTGAAAGTCCTCCATAGATAGCCTACAGTGGAAGAGGAATGGTTTTCACATGGGGAAAGAGGGATAGGTGCTGTATAGCACAAATTTCAGCACAAAAGTCTGCTAGGCTTTCAGGATCTGGCCCTACCTCGTCTCCCTGAGCCCCTCTCCCAAGTATCCATACAATAGAGCTGTTTCTGCAGACTCACCCCATCCCTCACAGCGTCTCTAACATGACTCCAGGCTCCTCAGGCATCATCAGTGCATTTGCACCTGTTATTTTCGCCACCAGAAATCACCTCTCACCTTCCTTTCTTAAAAAAACCCACACACACACACGCAGCAAACTCAGATACTCCTACTGTTGCTTCAGTGCCCTAATCTCCAGGAAGCCTTTTTTTTCCCTCCTAACCTGGCCTACATGTCCATTCTCTTTCCTTCTATAGATCTATGTGTGCTTCCTCAATAACACCAGAGCTACAACACTGTGGTGATTCACTGCTGTGGCCCATCAGTAGACTAATAGGATCTTGGGTACAGGGATGGTCTTGCTCATTTTGATGTTTTGCCCAGCACATTAAGAGGCACTTCAATTTCTGTTGAATATCAAATAATATATTTTCCTCTGTAGAGGACTCTGCTGGATATGGATGGGCCCCAGCGAACTCTCAACCAGAATTTAGAACTCAGATTTCAATACAGTGAAGATAGTCACTGGCAATGGTTTATCATTTACACCAAACAGGTGAGTTCTCATGGCAGAACATGAGCACCTTTTGTGCTGAAATGGCATCTTGCTGGCTGGGATGGACAAAGTGCATCATCTTAAGCCAGCTAGAACAGGGTACTGGTGGGAATTTTTTTTTCTTTTTTCTTTTCTTTATTTTATTGGTCACCAAAACCTTCACATCAGTTAGAAATGAATTTAGTTAACTATGTTAGTTTTTTGTCATTGTGACAAAATATCTTTGATAATCAACTGAAAAGAAGAAAGGTTTATTTTTGTTCAGGTTTCAGTCCCTGGTTTCTTGGTCCCATCTCTTGGGCCTGCATGAAGCTGCACATCATGGTGGATAGTGCATGGTAGAGCAATGCTGTGGACCTCAGCAGCCAGGGAGCTGCAAAAAGAGAGGAAGGGGCTTGAGTTCCAATATATCCTTCAAGGGCACACACAAGTGAATGACCTAATTTCCTCCAAGTAGGCCCCACTTTCTAAAGTTTTCACCACCTCCCTATGACCAAGCCTTCAACATGTGAGCTTTTTAGGATATTTAATATCCAAACCACAATGGTTACCAAGTAATGGAGATTGAACTAACTGGCTTATAATGGGGATCAGAAAATTTTTTCTTAAAGGTCCAGATGATGAATATTTTAGGATTTGAGGTCTTTTTGATCACTGTTGCAACTGCTGAGTTCTGTTAAAAGAAGTCATAGATAATACCTAAACAGGCCTTTTTCTAATAAAACTTTTATTTACAAAAATAGCTTGCTAGATTTGTTGCTGACCTCTGGTTTAGATAATACAGGGTTTTTTTGTTTCTTACTAATAATACTGAAAATGGATGATTGGCATCCTTATCATTCCCTTGGCCTTTTCCAAGCAGACAAAAAACTGTCCCTCACATTTGGAAAACAAATGCTTTATCTCAGAAACCTCCAAGTAAACTTTCATTTGTCTCATCAGTCAAAACTGGACCATCCAACCACCCTAGCTGCAAGGGAGTCTGGGAATTGAGTGTCTAGCAAAGAGGAGCAAAATCTATGATTCACTTATAGGTAGCATGAATCATTGCCTGGGCTGAGCACTTCTTATCCCAAACAAAATCAAGGTCTTTTAGGAAAGAAGAAAGTGATGGCTGTTGAATAGTTACCTATCCATATTTATTACAGGCTTATAATTAAAATAGGAATGGAAGTCCTAAAATAATTAATTTTAAAAATATCAAATCCAGTTAAAAAACCTTTTACTGAACCTAAGCTATTTCAAATTGGAGTCAGAATCAGAGGTGTTTTAAAATGGAGTCAAAATTTCATTATATTCAGCTTGAATCCTACTAAGTTTCATGGAACATTCTTGTTTTGGGTAACCAAAGCCCCCTTTTAACTTTAATTCTAATACAGTTGAGGTCATGACATCAAAGTCCTCTGAAAAACACGAAGTACTAAACTATAATCCTTAGTTAAAGAAATGAGTCCTTAGGGTCACTTTGGGAGGGCCAATGATTTGAGACAGGGTTTCATTATATAGTTCAGGCTGGCCTTGAACTCACAACAAGCCTCTTGCCTCAGCCTCCTGAGTGCTGGGATTACAGATGTGCATCACCATACCCAGTCTGGGTTCATTTTAATTGCTCATTTGCTCCCTCCTCAGAATGCTAAATACATCCAAATTGTATTATGATTTTTTAAATCTAAACAGTAGTGAATGAATTTAAGCCATGGCAGAGAGAGGCACAGTAAACATTGTTTTAAAGGATTTCTAGTAAGATCTTATTTCCTTTGGAACATTTTATTGATGTGCACCTTTTTCCAAAAGGCAGAAATGTGACTTATATGCCTTGCAAATACAAGTGAAGGCTTGGGCTCAACTCTTTTCCTATGCTTTTTAAACAAAAGCTCAGTTTATATTTAGTAAACCTGACCTGGTTTATAGCAGAGAGGTTTTGTTTTTTGTTTTGTTTTGTTTTTGTATACACAGTAGAAGAAAAGGGGATCAATATGCATTTCCAGGAATACACTGTTAAGCGTCCTTTCCTAGCTGCATCATCTCAGGGTTTATTGGTTAACTGTTTCGTACTGTGGTTTTTTGTAGGTTATATATGTGCAGATATATGTTTTTAGCAATGCTAGGAAGTCAAACTCTGGGTATACATATCATGTATATGCTCTTTTCCTGATTTGGTGACCCCACTTTTCCTCTCCCCCCTCCTTTTTTAAGGACATTTCATCCCTGTCATGCTCTACACCCCTGAAAGATGGCAAGATGTCACCTTTATGTCAACCATTCTCCCTCTAATTCTGCTGTGTGCCACCTTCTGAGAGATTTCCACTTCGGCCACTGCCCTGGCCTGGATTTCTCTCTGTCTCCTGCCCCTCTTCTCCATCATGCCCTCCGTGAACACAGTCTTATCCTAAGGCCTTAGAGCCTCAGGCCTTGAGCTTTAATTGTCTCAAACCTTAATAGGGTCAGAAAATAGCAAGGCAAGAAATAAGAGCAGGATGAGAAAGACAAAGGATGAGTGGAAGAAGAGCACGTGGGAAAATCATAGGGCACCTTAAATTTGGCACATAGGGGTACAGACCTTGGAACAAGAGAGCCCCTGTCTTTGTGTGGCCAGTGTGAGTGTCTTGGGACTGGCAATGATGATTAAGCCACCAGTTAAGCTGCAAGCAACTATCCATCTTGCTAGTGAATGATTAAGTACATTGGGAAAATAAGAAATGAAGAAAACAATTACTTTCTAAAATTTCAGTAAAAGCAATAAGATGCTAATATATTCTTTCAGACAGTTACTATTTAATATAATAAGTCTCTCAGTAATTATGTATACAATTATAGGATTTACCATCATCAGTTTATTTGATTATACTAATAAGTACTTTGTATTATTTATTGCTCAAAAAACATGATCTGCCTATAAACTAATAAACCTGGCATGCAAGTGGGGAGTTTTAAGGAGAAAAAGATTGGTAATAAGATTCTGACCATTTTTTATCTGTCTTTAAATTTTACTGTAAATATATCCATGTAATTGAGAAAATTTATGTTTACTTGCTAATTGAATTATATGCAAATTTCTGAAAGTTAAAGAAGAAATCTAAATTCTTTTTTTTGCTTGTTTGTTTTTTGGTACCGGGGATCGAACTCGGGACCTTGTGCTTGCAAGGCAAGCACCTGAACCACTGAGCTAAATCCCCAGCCCTTTTTTTTCTTTTTGGTACCGGGGTTTGAACTCAGGTCCTTGCACTTGCGCAGCAGGCAGCGAAACCACTGAGCTAAATCCTCAGCCCGAAATCTAAATTCTTAACAGTGTGCTATTGTATTTTAAGCAGAGTTCAAAATCTGTTCTGTGCCATGAGGAGGGAAGGAAGAAAATGAAAACCTCTTGAGCACAGAGTCTTTTTTATTTCTGGATTTCTTAGGCATTTTTGCTGAGTAGCTGCTTGAAAAAGATGGTCTCAGAGAAGATGGCAAAGCTAGCTGCTGAGAATACAGAAATGGTAAGTGCTCTTACCTGTGTACACTGCCCCTTTAAGCTCCCACCACGAGGAACAACACCTGGAGACCAAACTGCCCCGCAGCATTCTGGGCTGGCAGGTCTGGTCCTCGGGGAAGAATCCAGCCCACAAGAAATCTACTCCTCAGGTCGGTCTCTGGGGCTCTGTGGTCAGGATCGTGGGCCAGGAAAAAGTCTGTCTTTAGAATTCAAGCCATTTTTCCAGGGAAAAGTCCTCTTTGGATTACTGAGAACCTATAACTTTCTAGTCACACTATTTTATTTCTGCCTTATTCTAAACAAAAGCTTTCAGATTTATCATAAAACCTTTATGACAAAGTCAGGACCTTTAACAGAGCGGAGATGAATAAGCTCTGGTTTTCTCTAGAAAGAATCCACAGCCTCCTGATACTTCTGGTGTGGCAAGTGGAAACGCCTTAGCAGATGGGAGAAGCCAGAGAGTAGAAGAAACTCTCAAGTCTTTTTTTTTTTTTTCCTCACTGTAAACTTAACTCTATTTTTCTACACTACATTTATTTATTGGAGGCCCAGTTACTAGAAACTCACTGAAAAAGTTGGTGGGCAGGCTGTAAAGTCAAAAATTACTGAGATTTCAAACTTTTCTAATTACCTTGTCCCCATCATGATATAATCATGTCCCAGATAAGATAGTACAGTTTGATGTTTTAAAAATGATTATAAGTACTAATGCCTGGTTGACATTTTTAAGCTTCATTATTTAATATTATACCAATCTTTAAAAAATACAACAGAAAATAATTGGAAACTTCCCTAGTGTTTTTATTTAAATTTAGTCCTTTATAAAAAGGATCGATAATGTCTTTAGTTTAACCTTAATCTTTACTTGACTTTACAGCTTTTTTTCTAAGAAAATAATTGAGTTTTATACTTACTTCTCTTTCTTGTAGAACTGAAATATCTTCCCAGGGAAAATAGATTCACTGCCTCTTGGTGGTTGAACAATTCAAAATGTTCTGGAGAGTAGTAAATGAAGCAGGCTCTTTTTAAAAGGAGTCATAAAATCCAACCTCTTAGTCAGGGTGAACCCTCTTAGGCTTTGATTATTATATATATAAAAAGAAGGAAGAGAAAAGTAATTAACTGAAGTAGCCTCATTAAAGGGAAGAAGTGCCCTCAAATGTGGTTAGGTAAAACCTAAGCCACTCGATGCAGGAACTATTTGAACAATGAATAGCTAAAGAATTAGCTCAATAAAATGGAGAAGGTAATAATCTATTTAAAGTCCTTAAGAAAAAGAATTGTGCTACATTCCCTAGATTTGCGCACGAATTGAAGTCTTCCATTTACCACTGTGACTAATAGAAAATCAGCATATTAGTCAACACTTTTATATTGCTTTATCCAAATAGTCACTAAGCTTTATTTCCACAAACTATTTCTTTGCTCATTTGGATTCTTGGAAAGAAAAGTTAAGACTCCTCCTCTTGAAAATTGAGTTTACAAAGCGTGTTGTAGGGGTAGTCTGTCTGCATTTCAATCTAGAACTTTGTCTACAAAACCCCTGGGGAGGATGGAACAGATGAGCCATTAGACCTCACAACAAGTGCTGGGCCTCCCCACAAAGGACGGGGAACTAACGCCATTTTGAGCCCTCAAGTAGCTGTGTAAGTGTAAGATGGCGACATTCAGTTTCTTCTAGGCAAACACATAGTCTCAACCAGGAAGTCACTTGTAGGAGGTGTGCACGGATCAGGACCCAGACATCTCCGCGAGGCAGATTCTGCATCCAGACGCATTCTGCACTTTGATAATCTTGAAGAATCTGGATCAATGGGAGAAACTGAGCAATCTGTAACCAAATGAGCCCCCCAAATAAAGTAGATGGTCTCCAGAAGCAGATTAAATCATACCGGGTTTTCCTGTTGATATGAAATGAAGGGAAGAAGAAACTTAGCACTAATTGAAAGTTAATTGGCCTAGTTAGCTTTAGACAATGCTTTCAAAGATAAGACTTGAACTGTTTATGAAGAGGTCACTAAAATTTGAGTAAAATAAATGTGGTAAAGAATGCTGCAACACACAATCACAATAAAAACTTTCTTGTTAAATACTTAAAGGCAATATTAACTACATACAAGAAGTGAAAGGGGATGTAACATTCTTCTTAAAGCTACACCCCTATACAAAAGCGGAAATATTTTGTTAATATTTGCTGCTTTTAACTAGAGCAAAATTACAAAAGTTTGTTTTGCTTGAAAATAAAATTCACTAGTCAGGGTTAGGTTCAGTTCCATATAACAGAAAGTAAGACAAAGCATGTGTCTTAGTCACAGGCACGACAGCGGTTACAGATGGGCCAAGTGCACCAGGCAGCAGAGTTCCAGACCCGGGGGAAGTAATGATGCAGATGCAGAACTGAGTGATCACATTCACAGAAACCACTCTGTAGAAAGAAGAGAAAGTGCAGGAGAACTGGGCTGGGAAACCAGGTTTCGCTTTCCCCAACTTTATTGCCCCTGCTGCAGAAAGCACTTCAAGACGTTCTACAGTAGGTCAAGGAAACTGATTACGTGAGGTCACTTCACATTTTCAGTGGGTTGTATTTTATTTATTATGACGTTGGGAGAGTAAGGAGAGTAAGAGAAAGAAAAATTGTTATGATTTTCCCCCCATGTTCTGTATTTCATAGCACCTGGTCATAAACTGTGATGCAGTATTGTAAAACAATAAAAATAATAGCAAAATGTGGCATCAGAGCATTAACCTCTCATTTACAAAGACTTTTTACCTTACTGAAATATAGGCTTCAAATATGTGAACGTTTCTATTTAAAACCCTAACCTAGCAGGATTCCAGAGTACCGTATATTCCCTTAAAGCAACTGACTTTGCAGCAAAATTAATTTAACCATAGTCAAAGGATAATGTTCGTTTGCAGCGTCATGTCATTTATTCCATTTTTTGTTAAATTTCCCACTGTCTACTTTCACAAGTAATAAGCACTGCTGGGCAGCCTGATCAGCTCACCCCTGTGTTCTGTCATTTATGAAGCCCGTATTTGCCATGTGGTGGCTAGCAACCCAGGATCCAGCGACAAGGAGGAGAAAGGCAATTGGGACAGAGACATTTATGACCACGGCATGATGTGTCCCATGGCTCGCTGGAGAGATGCACAGAATGCTGAGCTCTTTAAGGGCCCTTTTCCCTGGGGAGATGTCTAAGCACTCTGTCTCCCAACCCTGGTGACATCGTGTTTACTGGGTGTGCCAGACACCTCTGCCCACCTGCTCTGTGCCCCATGGACTGACCTGTGTGTGCTGTGACCTTGCTTTCCTTGGGGTCACCCAGTGGGAACCCCAGCAGGAGACTGAAGGTGGAGGGAGGACTAGGTTGGGGGAGAACTAGGTTGGTAGTCGCCTCTCCAGCTCCTGCCCTCCAGGGACTCTGGTTTCACCTCCTGTCCTGAAGGCTCCTGGCCCACAACCCTCAGCCACAGCTGCTCTGGTCCCAGTACAGCTGTCCCTCTCACCCCTGCAGGCCTGGAGGTGCCAGAACCCACCCACCCCCTCCCTCACTGCAGCCCCTTGGGGCCCAGCAGCCCCTCTGGATTTGAACCCCCATTAAATGCTAGTTCAACTGCCCTGTTTAAATACTGCCTTCACTTACCCAGGAGTGTGCTGTGCATCCATGCCCCCAGCCTGGAATCACTTTTACCTTGCGTACCTGAGGTGTAGTCAAGTGTCTTTGAACTGCAGTTTGGTTCCTCATTGGATTAATGGTGCCTTTTGATGAGGCAAAGCCCCTTTTGGCTATGACTCCCCGTATGGATTGGGGCTCTGTGGATTATCTTGAGGTTTAGAAGTAGAGTGCATTTCATTTTGTGTGAAGGCCTTTCAATCACAAAATCCATAGGCAGCCACCAGTGTTAAACACAAAGCTTTGCTTCACTTTTGGGGACTCGATTCTGTAACACGTAGACCCTGGCCCACCAAGGGGAATGGGCAGCTGACAAGCAGGTGGCCTGGCCAGTAAGAGGATTACCTTGCAGGCAGCAATATGCTGGTTAAATGGGTGACTTGGGTGCTGGCTCCTCTGGGTGGTGCTGACTGACATTTTACTCATCTATTTAGCAGATTGAAGTTCCGGGAAAAAGCAAAAGCAAAAAATACCACATTCAACAAAGCAAGGTCTGTGAGTAGTTATATAATTGATGTATCACAATTCTGATAAATCTCCTCCCTTGGCCCCTTTAACCAAGGCCTATTTCCAAGAGTAAGTTGGAATTCTGTGGCTGGGCCAGTTGGAGACCGGCACAGGAGTATAGTAGTTTTGTTGTTCTGTCAGCAGGCTAAGGGCCTGGCATGGCCTTCCCTTCTCCCCTCTTCTTCCTCCTCTTTTCTTCCTCTTCCTCTTCCTCCTCCTCCTCCTTCTTTTCTCTCTCTCTCTCTCTCTCTCTGATTGAACCTAGGGCCTTTACACTGAGCTGCATCCCCATCCCTTTTGCTTTTATTTTTTTTTTAGTTTGAGACAGTGTCTTGCTAAGTTGCCCAGGCTGGGCTTGAATTGGTGACCCTCCTGCCTCAGCCTCCCAGAGCACTGGGCTGACAGGTATGCGACACCACTCCAGGCTGAGGGCATTTTTAGGTTAAACGTTTCCAAGAACATAAATTTTTTTTTTTTGGTGATTTTCTTCTGCACCCATGCATTTTTTAAAAATTCCTCTTTCTAGTTTGAGCATTTTAGTATATCTGATATGTTTTAGTTTCATGGGTTTTCAGCAGTGCTGTATAATCAATATAAAACAACTTTGAAGTTTATGAAGTATTCTTTGGAGCATTTAGTTGTGTGTGCCGATAATAAATGTAGAAAAACACAGTAACAGGATTGAGCACCATCATGCTAGACAGCGTTCCAAGCACTGGTATGTGAATTAACACATCTGTCCCCTCCATGATCCTCTGAATCCACCGAGCGAAGCAGCGTACAGAGAGGCTAAGTGACTCCCTCAAGGCTGAACAGTAATCAGTGCTAGCAGGAGGTCAGCAATCTCAGCCCAGGACTGTGATCTTTACTACCTGGCTCTTCTTTTCTATGTCCAAACTCCAGTGTAGGCAAATGAAGGAAAGGTGGCCTCTAAATAGCCTTGGAAGGGGATTGATTACTGACCTCATGCCCACAGAGGGCCTGGTGTGGGGATGAAGTGTTTATAATATGCAGACACACGGGTCCTTCGCGTGAGTGAATGAGCTAAGAAAACAAGACAGCATCAGTGCAAAACTTTGTTTTGTAACAGTGACGTTTTTGGCTGGCCGGGTCAGAGACGGGAGGCAGCAGCTCCACCACTACTGGCTGTGTGTTTTCAGGCAGACCAAAACCCTCTCTGTGCACCAGGGACTCCCGAAGGGCTTTTTAATTTTTCAAAATTAGTACGTGTTTGTATACACAGTGATTACGCCCATCATGGGAGGTGGTGCATGTATGTAACACATTTTAATCCTTTCTTCTCTTTAACACTCCCTTCCCTTCTCACTCCCTCCATCTCTTAGTCCTCTACCTTTTTGCAGAAGATCTGTCTCCCTGCTTCCTATTATCTTTCATTTTGCTCTTTACTTATATTTTGGGTTTGTCACATAAGAGAAACAAAGTGATATTCAAGCTTTATGTGTCTGATTTATTTCACTTAACCTATGGTCTCAAGGTGCACCCATTTTCCTTCAAATGACTCAAGGCTGTCCTTCTTTATGACAGAGTAGTACTCCACGGTCTGTAAACACCGCATTCTCTTTATCCATTCATCTGTTGATGGACAGATGTCATGATACCTGGACCAGGCAGGTCAGCGTCCCATGAGAACACGCAAATCTAGGGGCCCCAAACCTACCGGAGGGGCCCAGCTGTTTGTGCTCACCAAGGCCTCCACATGAGCAGGCTGCACGGTCAGTGTGAGAGCCACTATCCCGCACACAGACATGACATGCAGTGTAACTGCGACGGACGCTGCGGCAGCCTCCCCATATCTGAGCAGGCGGCCGGGAGAAGGGTCCGCTGCGCCTGAGCTGCGTTCCAGCTCATCTCGCAAGGCCCAGCCTGAGCCTCCACAGCCAGAATCCCCGTCTGCAGGCCTCTCACCGCCCGGAGGATGCTGGGAGCCTCGGTGCTCAGTCCCTTTCGTCAAAGACGGCAGAGTATCGCATAGAGCTACTCACCTCCTCCACGTACCGTAAATCCTCTCTGTTCCTGTTAAGGCCTAACACAGCATGCACGCTGTGTCAGTGATTGTCATCCAGAATTGCTTAGGGAGTAAGTAACGACATGAAAAAGCCCACATGTTCAGTGCCGATACAACTTAAAAATATATTTTCCATCAGAGGCTGGTCACATGTATGGATGCAGAACCCCTAGATATGGCAAGGTGACTGCGGGACTCATTTAATCCTCATAATTACCCAGTTGTTACTGTTTCCATCCTTGGTTTATGGCCTATGGACTGAGACAGAAAAGTTACATAACTTGCTCCAGGATGCACAAAGGAGCCAGTTTCTGCATCCCAGCAGTCTTCATGGTTGACAAATAAAATTTGTCTGTTAAGCCCTCTGCCACAGGGATTTTCTATCCAGAAAAATTTCTCACAGAAAAAATATTTAGCCTGTCTGCCTGGCGAGGTGCCCCAGATTGTTTTTCAAATGGGCACCTGACCCAAAATTAAAGCTTTCACAGGATAAAACCATTGAAAATAACCAATGTTCAAACGGGTGCTCCCTTTCTGTTGTCCTTTTCATACTAGTTTAACCTCCTTGAAGTTTTTGTTATTGTTATTATGGAAATCATTTCCTCTCATTTACATTTCTGACCTTTCCATTTCCTTCCCAGCAAAAACAGTATTCTAGTTTTCTATCAAGAAAAAGCAAGATTAAGAGAGCTGAAGGTGACTGTGTTTTTGGAACCATAAAGGAAGAAGATCTTTGAAGAAAAGTCTCACCTTTGAAATGTCCCCTAAGCTATCTGAAGACAGTGAGTGGAAAAGCTTGGGGACTGGAGATGGGCTTCCGACCATTGGGAAATTTCCTGACTTCTTCCTATATCTTCTGACATTAAAATAGACTATAGTCATCAAGACTACCACAGCATTCTATGTACATTTCAAGATTAAAAAGACATAAGAACTAAAGTCATAGAATTTGTTCTTAACAGCTCATAAATCACAAGTGGCAGATTCAAATCAACTAAATGCGAAAGTCACTGCCTTTTTCCCCCTAGAATAGATGCTTACCTGGCTTCATGAAGTCTTTTGCGTGTTCTAGTATTACATAAATGAAAGTCTGGTTCTGACATGTTATCAGTGCATTTGGGGCAGAGTCCTAAAGAAGTGATTCATCAGCTGAGAAAAACTGGGTTCTGTCGAAGAAGAGGAATCGCTGGGGAAGAAACCCACACTTCTCTGACCTGTCCACAGAGCTGTAACAAGGAGGGGTGCAGTGTGGACTTGTTTCCTTACCTAGTTCCGGAGGTGCCAGCATGGGTGACCTCAGCGTCATGTGCTGCTGACCTTTGTGGGTCAGACTGTGTTCTGCCCTTAGAATATTGAATTTGGTTCACTGGTCATCATGCTGTTTTGAATGTTTCTATTTGGGAAAGCAGTAAGGCCTTGTACTTGACATCAAATACCTTTTAAGTCCCTTTGCTTTAAAATTGTGTGTATTTTGTCTCTATGTTTTTCCTTATTGAGTTCTATTATTTTATGGTAATTAATGTAATTATTATAGAATTGGGTATACAATAATTCCCACAATAAAGAAGAGGAACAGAGGAAGCTAATGTAATTAGGAAAAAGTACAATATCTTAATATTCTTTCCTGATTTACATAATGATATAATAAATATGAACTATATTCTACTGAAGAGGATTGATTGATGAAAAGTCTGTGGATGGTCTTTGGAAATGTAGAATCCACTAAAACCTTATAATATCTGTAAATCAGTGCCTATAGCCTAACTTTGAGTACCTTAAAGTTTTATATTTATATTTTAGGTTGTAGTAGATGTTTTCAGATGTTTTGTAGTAGATGTTTTTCAGAGGGATTCACGGACATCCCAGATCATCCATAGAGAGTATATTAATGGGTTAGGAGCATTTTAGATTAAAATGGAAGCTTACGTACTATTTTGCCAATTTAAGAATAGCCAAGGATTAACTTTTTCCCTTTTTTTGTTTGTTTTTGGAGATAGGGTCTCACTATTTTGCCAGGCTGGCCTCAACCTTGCGGCAATCCTTCTGCCTCAGCCTCCTGAAGCTGCGTGCTGGGATTACAGGCATATGTCACCACAGGTCTCTCTTCTTAAAAGGAAGCACATCTACAATATGAGGGGCTGTTGTAGAAATTAAGAGTGCAAAGAGAATTTTTATGGGGGTTAGAAGATGTTTGGAAGAGTTGAACCATATGTGATTGCAGTCGTTGTAGGTAAGAAAAACCATTTCATGTTGCCCATTTCCTGTTTCACCTTGATATATGAGTAGCCACAGACGATGAGTAGCTGGCATCAAAAGTATAGTGTGGGTTTATGTGTCAAAGAAAGTTGGGGCCCATCAGGAAAGCCTCAAGTGGAAGAGAGCCTTGGAGGAAAGAGTAGAGATGGGTGGTCCAAGAGGGGACACCCTAGAAAGAGGGAAGGGCACCCCAGATGGGAAAGTGAGGCTTGTGGTTTTTTGTGGGGTTTTTTTTGGTACTGGAGATCGAACTCAGGTCCTTGCGCTTGCGAGGGCAGTCGGCAGAACCACTGAGCTAAATCCCTGGCCCAAGGCTCATGTTTCGGGAGCTGCAAGCAGACCTGCTCTGTGCTGGCAAAGTTCGCGGTGCAGGGAGCAGTTAGCAGATAAAGCTGAGAGAAAAGAGGGACGAGGTACCCTTGCGTACCCCAAGGGAGCATCTCAATAATGTGAGAGCAGCAGTTTAGTTAGCCCTTAATTGAGAATGGCAAAAACAAAAGCATTGTATTCAACTATTTTTTCTCAAAACATTGAGATTATCATCAATATCAGAACGTGAGAAGAAGACTACAAGTGATGACACGCATTCTACAGTATACAGCATGAGGAGTAAAAGAACTAGGGGAGTGGGGAATAAGATTCCAAACTTCATCTGCAGGATGACATAGATCGGTAAACCTGTGATGGCAGGAGGGGTGACTGCATTAACCCCTTTGTGGATTCCTAGGCCTCTTTTTATCTGGAAGGAGTTTGGGAGCATGAGTCACTTCTGGATCAAAACACTTGAGCATTGGGTAAAGTCAGAAGTCCGACTGCCAGAGTGACCTTCTCTGCCATGGATGCAGGAGATGGCGAGAGACCCTCATCAGTCTAGGGAGGTCCCTCCCCCAGAGCGGCCACCCCAGTGCAGGAGCAGACATCCGCCCGCGAGTCTGTAGGCCCTCTTGACGGCCTCTGGTAACTGCAGGGCCGTGGCCTGGCTTCAGATATGATGAGCCTGATGCTTTTGTCTAGCGATCTGCTTCTCACATCCAGTGTGTCTGTGGGTTTTGGATCCATGGATTCAACCAGCTGTGGATTGAAAATGTAGTTAGGCCGACAGTGATGGCGTCTGTTCTGAACGTACAGACTTTGCCCCTCATCACCATTTGCTAAGCCATGTGGCATGACAGCCACTCACGTAGTGTTTACATGGTATTGGATAATATAAGTAACCTAGCGATGGTGCAAAGGGTACAGAGGAAGTCGGGGGGGGGTCACCTGCAGACACGACGTCATTTCATACCAGGGACCTGGGCCTCCGTGGATTTTGGTTGCCACCCAGGATGCCCTGTAGATACTGACAGACACCGGCACCTGCAGAAAAGGTCCCCAGGCACCTGCACCTTCTCCTGAGGCACTGCATTCACCAGCATCACCTCTGGAAACTGGACAGGAATATGGTTTTACTGCTGTTTATATTCTGAAGTGACTAGCAGAGGCACTTTGCCCACAGACAAGCACACTTGAGTGTGAAGTTTGCACAAAAATCATCATGAGGAGAAAAAAGAAGGCAGCTGATGGAACTGCAGTCAGCCCTGTTGTCTGAGCCTGTGGCTCCTGGGGAGGGAAGCAGGCTTGGCCTCTGTTGGCAGAGCTTGCAGAGCTGATGGCCTGCTCGGGCCGGGTCCCCATCCAGGTCAGTGTGTGGTGACCTTACGGCTGGCCCACATCCCCTCATGGACAGCTAAGCACATTTTATGTAAAACATTTTGGTTAGAAATGACCTTAAGATCACCCCAAAACAAAGGTGAGAAGGGCTCCGTGACCTTGCTTTGTGGAAAAGCAAATAGGTGCTGAGCTTTGGTGAGAAAACCGTGGCTGAAATGATCCTAAAATACAAAGCAAAAGGAAACCAAAAAGAAGACTCAGTGACAGTGCAGGGGTGGCTTTGGGGACCCAGGATTGTGAGAGGAAATTGCCAAGAAACAGGTAGGTAAATTGTGCTATCACCAAAAATAAGATGAGCTGAGTTGGAAAAAGTCTGACTAACCAATTATTCCTTAAAAGATAGCTTTGAAGGCCCTGTAATTGTCCTCTTTGCCCACTTTATTGAAGTATAATTGTACTTTGCTTTTAAGTTGCTTTTAATAGCTAGTAGTTAAATTCTGATGAAGCAAATCCGTTGTTTAACAATGTTCCAGAGCTATCGAAAAGCGCACGATGTTGCTGGAAGGCTTGGGTTCGGGTTAATCCTCACTCAGGAGGGCACAGTCCTCAGCTCCTGGATGGTCTTTACGTGGTGTTGCCTTGGAAGGGCTTAGTCATTCAGCTGATTTGATGGTGCTGACCTGAGTGATTTTGCACCACTTCTGCAACAACTGAGTGTGTTTTCTTCCCGGGAATGTGGGACACAGAGTTGGCTGGACTTGCTAATGAGTTTTCCAGCTGTGAACATGAATGTGTAGTTGATGAGTGTGAGCTGGCAGCAGTTGTGTGGGTGGAGGCCCGTGGAACGGCACGCTGAAGTGGTGAGCAGCTTTGCTGTGAACACGCAGGTTCTTGCTCTTTGTGTGTGTGTGTGTGTGTGTGTGTGTGTGTATGTTTGTGTGCGTGCACATGCACACAGTGCTGGGAATTGAACCCAGGGTCTGCTTCACACTGAGTTACATCCCCAACCCTTTTTAATTTTTTTTTAAATTTTGAGACAGGATCTCAGTAAGTCACTAAGTTGTCCAGGCCGGACTCAAATTTGCAGTCCTCTTGCTTCAGCTTCCCAGAGTGCTGGCTGAGGGGTGCTCTTATTCTTGCTGGAAGTGGGTCCCAGCAGAATTTCTGGGGAGCTCCTTTTTGTAATGAATGGGGTCTATTGGTAGAGGAAGAGATAACGGAAATCAACTGTATCTTGGCCCCAATCAAAGGAAGTTCAGAACTTGATTTTCCATTTATCATCCACAGATGATAAATGAAGACTAAAAGAAGTAAAGTGATGGGCCAGGGAATTAGCTTAGTGGTTCTGCCGCCTGCCTCGCAAGGTCCTGAGTTTGATTCCCTGAACCAAAAAAGAAAGAAGTAAAGTGACAATTACTAATTTCTTATGTATGTTGTGCAAGTCGACTGCCTGGAGACAAGTACTTTTAAACATCAGTGATCCTGTTGACCCAAGATGCTGCCGCACCATCGCTGGGGTACATCATCGCTTTAGGGGAAGAAAATACAATTCTAGATCAAAGTTTATTTTTGTGTATCAGCCGAATGTGTATCGCAGCAGTTAAACTTCAGATTCTTACAGGTAACTGCATGCCTATCCTGATGTCCTCTAAGTATTAGTTACTTTTTTTTTCCAGTACCAGGGATTGAACTCAGGACCTTGAGCTTGCCAGGCAGGCGCAGTGCCACTGAGCTACATCCCTGGCCCCTAAGTATTAGTTACTCTTGCGATTAACTATGGGTTTAATGTGTCATGGATGCTCTTTACCCTCTTTTCATCCTTTTTCTCTTTTTGTTTATCAAAATCAAAAGCCAGATGATATGCGATCTGGGGGCTCCCAACGCAGATAGAGAGGAGGTATGAGGCAGTGAATTCACTGTAGGAAAACCCTGAAGCCTTACTGCTCTGTTGGAAACACCCTTACCGGAGACTTTTTAAAAATCTAGTGGATGATTAGCGAAGCCAAAGCACAAAAGGCAGCTATCTCAGACTGTGGCTATAACAACATCTCAAGACTCGGTGGTTTATAAACGACAGATACTTGTTTCCCACAGTTGGGGAGGATGGGACGCCGAAGACCAAGCACCCGCCCTCTGTGTGGTACCAGGTGAGGATTTGCTGTCTGCTTCTGAGGTGGCTCCTGGCTGCTGTGTCCCCTGAGCAGAGAGACTGCTGCGTCTTCATGCCACAGAAGACACTCAAGGAAAAAGCTCACCTCTGCAAGTCCTTTCTAAGGTGATGATTCTGTCCATGAGGGCTTTGCCCTTGTGGCTTAACCTCTTCCTAAATGTCACAGCTCTTAATAAGTTTCAACAAGTCAATTTTTTGGCCTTTCAAGACCTTGGCTACAATGAACTCAATTCGTTTTGTAAGAGACTGTGTAAACTAGAAGATAGACATGTAAAAAATATTTTTAAGGTTTTTAAAAATTAAAATCATTTCTAGTCCTTAAGAATCTTTTCATTCTGGCTGTCTTAAAACAAATGCATAGGCTCCAAGCAATTTCCATTACTTATCCATGTGATTTTCCTTTAGAAATGTCAGCAGTCCCCTTTCCTGGCCGTCAGGAGCTATATTGTTCAGACGATGGATTACTGCAATTGCATTTGCAGGAATGGCTCTCAGTGGGGCCCCAGCCTCCAAGGTCAGTGGACCGTAGCCTCGAGCTCTGCCTTGGCATGGGCTGCACAGTTCTCTACAGGTGGAAATGAAAGCACAGGATTCTGAGAAAAGAGCAGAATTGAGGCAAGGTCTAACATGAGAAAGAGGCGCACTTTGCTTCCATCTGAATGATCACCAGGAGCTCATTTTGAGATGAAGGAGAGAGTTAAGATCCCTCTAAGCCCGAATTTGCAGCAGAGTTTGAGTCCCTAGGGTGACCTAAGCCTCACAGGAAAGCTGAAATGAGCTATTTACCAACACAGACGATGGGAATCTTCTCAGCTGCTCATTATCTGTCTGAGCAGACTTCCCCAGGCTTCTGGGAACCAGCATGAACCCTTAGCTTTTCCTGTACCCAGACTTAACAAGCCCTGAACTGTCACAGTCTCTAAGGAGCAGAATTTTGAAAGGGCTTGAGAGAAAATGTGAGGCTAGAAAGAAACAGAGAAAAGGCAAGACCAGCCTGGACCAGGAGCATTTCCCATATTATCTTCTGTTGCCCTTCCTTTTTCGCTCGCTTCTGAAAAAATTTATAAGCCTATTGATTTTCAGTTTCTGGGCATGTTTTAAAAATGAATGACCAAAGATGTGGACACCATCATTTCTTATGTGCTTAGGAGAGGTTTTGTTTTGTTATTTAATTGACATTTTTTGTGATCTGCACATGCTTTCAAAGAGACTATTTCTTAGGAGCATTGGAACTCAAGTTCTCAAATATCCTGCATCCCAAGCAAAATTCTACTTTCAGCAGCCTAATAACTCATATCCCATTGTTCAGTTACTTTGAGATCTGCTGGGCACAGGCCTATCTTTTCACCAGAGTTCCTGTAACTGAAGAGCCAGAGAGTATGGAACCAAGGTAGTTTATACATAGGGAGGGGACACGGACTACTACCCCCAGACTCTTAGCCTAGGAGGAGAACTCAGAAGTGAGGCATGGAGATTTTATACAATTTCCGCTTGAAATACTTAAATGTTTAAGTTCCACCCAAGCTGAAGGCATGGCAGTGAGATGGGAGAACATCCCTCTGGCCCTCATTATCCCCTGACCTGAATCCCAAACTTGCTTCTGCCTCTAGCTGTCAATGTGAGTCCAGGAAAGTTGCCTAACTTAGGTGGCCCTCAGTTTCTCACAGGCCAAGTGGGGTAAGAGCCTGTGGGTGTGCTGCACTGTTCTGCTCTCCTTGGAAAATTGGCTACATTGGTGTTATTGTTTATATCTAGTTATCCCTCCAAAGTCTCATGCACTCAGAGGTGGGGTTTTTGAAGGGTGATTGGATTATCCAGGCTAACAGACTTACTATTAAGAGGTGGGATCTGGTCAAAAGAGCCAGGTCCCTGGGGTCTAGGCCGGAAGGGTTTATCTTCCTCCTGACTCCTCCCTTCACACCCTACTTCCTGCCACCATGCTCCTTTGTCATGCTGTCCTGCCCAGCTGATGATGGACTGAGGCCTCTACAAACTACTATGAGCCAAAATAAACCTTTCCCCCTTTTGGTTGTGGGTGTCAAGTATTTTGTTCCAAGGATGCAAAAGGGAACAAAACAATTGGGAATTACATTTCCCAGCATCCTCTTTCCTAAATGGCTCCAGTTTAGAATTGGCCCAAAGATAGAGTAAGAGAAGGGTCATTACTTTCTATAGGTCTTTTCACAATCACAGGGTGATACACAGATGCAAAGATACCAGGCAGTTTCCAGTTTGTCCTTGACTCCCCCCTCCCTACATCCAGCTCTTCTTGACTACTGGCTCTGGTGAACATGAGAGCCTCAGGCCTGCCACCAGACACTTGGTGGAGAACCCTAGAAGCAGTAGTAGCTACAGACGAAACAGCTCCTACTTCAGTGAGGTCAAACCAGGTTTGGCTTCCCAGACTCCTCGGACAGACTAGCCTGTGGCTTTTTATTGATTTTCCACACCCCCCAAACCTTCACTTCCGGGACTCCTAGCACAGTCATGTAAGGTGCAAATCTGTCATCCTATACTATATATATCCTATATACATCCTATACTATACTATACTATGTCCCTGCCCAGGCCCAGAATTTCACAGTCATCTTTAAAGGATTTGCACAGCATTGCTTAAACCTTTGCAAAAACCTTTACCAAAGATGAGTTACTTAACTTTTGGAGGGGAAGGGTAATTGGGGTGAGGCATTCTGTCTATTCCTGTCAAGTGCATTGTTTCTTCTATCTGTGGTGTTGGCATGTGTGGGTGCATGCAAACCAAAACAACAAAGGGTTCTGCAGACAGAACCAGCTCCCTTCCTCCTCCTAGGGCTCCAGCTTTTTTCTTAGTAGCTTCAAAAATTCGGCATCTAAGATGTTTGTTTTGCAATTAACAAAGGGAGAGAGCCCATTCTGAATGTTTTGCTTGAACACTTCCTAGTGATGCTGGTTGCAGGAGGGAAATATTATTCTCCTAGGCTTCAGTTTTTCCTCTAATAGTTTTGCAAAGATGAAGGCTGGCACACACACGTGTCATATTTTTTTCTGGTGGTTTAAATGTTTACAGCTGTTAAGGAACTGAAATGAATCTAGCGCTGGTGAAGATAAATACGGGCTACTTGCCGCAGATCCAGCAGCTTGGGGCTATGCTAGGAAGCTATGGTAGGCCCAAAGACTCCTGACTCACCCGTCTTGGGTTGAGAAGGGAGACCCTTGAATGCTGTACTTTTTTGGAGCATGTCTCCCCCTCGTGGTCATTCGTTAGTACTACAAAGAAACAACATACACTCTGGAACATGACAATAAATAAAGCTCAAAAACAAGGACATTCATTCCTCTTATTTTGCAAGTATGGCGTGTTTTGTGGGGTTTTTTGGGGTTTTGTTTTTTGTTTTTGTTTTGTAACGGCAATCGAACTCGGGACCGTGCGCTTGGGAGGGAGGCAGCGGAACCACTGAGCTAAATCCCCAGCCCAAGTATGTTATGTTTTATCTCTTCTTTCTGCATCTCTTTCTGCAGAGGCAACTAGTTACACCAGGATAATGGCTAGATTGCTTTGAGTCTCTTCTGGTAAGTGTTCAATGTTTTTGAAAGTCTTCTGTATTTTCTGAGACTATACAAGAACATATATTCAGTATATATGAATATATGTATACTGAAAAGAAGAGAACTAAAAAACGAAAACTTCCTAAGTGAAAATTCTACCCAGGCATGGTGGCACATGCATGTATTTCCAGCTGTGTGGGAGGCTGAGGCAGGAAGATCGAAAATTTGAGGACAGCCTGGGCAAGTTAGTGAGACTTGTTCACAATATAATTGTAAAAGGGATGGGGATATAGCTCAGTGTAGAGTGCTGGCCTAGCATGAGTGAAGCCTTGGGTTTAATCCCCAGCACTGCAAAACAAAATCCAAAAAACCAAAAAACTTCTACTCCAAGCAAATGTTTTCTTTCCTTCAGTCTCTCACTCACTATTCAAAGATATTGTTGCCTTTTTATTCAAATTAGGTCCCAAATTGTTTGCTTTCAAGAGTATTGCTCTTCTTTCCATTAGTAACTTTTATCCAACTTGCAATTAAGCTTATGCCTCTCTACTGGAAATCTCACAATCAGAACTTGGGACCAAATAGATTTTTGGAATGAGAACAAAGACAGATTTGCCTGAAGAGAATGAAATTTAAGCTTCAAGGCCTTTATGGAAGGCTGATTCACCATCCCTCAAAGACATCCATGTCTTTGTCCCCAGAACCTATGAATATGTCAACATATGGGGCTTTACCAATACGATTAAGATTGTGAGATGGGATGATTATCCTGGATTAGCCACAGTGCCAAGTGTAAACACCAGGTTTCTTATAAAGCAGGGGAATCAAAGTTAGAGAAGATACAAGAATGGAAGCAGAATCCAGAAAGAGGGAGGAAGGGGCCACAAGCCAAGGGACCAAGGTGGCTTCTAGAAGCCAGAGAAGTAAGGACTCGGATGCTCCTGAGAGTCTCCAGAGAAACCACAGCCATGCCCACACTGATTTTAGTCCAGTAAAAGTGACTGTCGCCTTCTGACCTCCTGAACTGTAAGTTAAATAATTGTCATTGTTTTAAGTCATTAAATTCATGGTAGTTTGTTACAGCGACAATAAATTTGTGGTTGTTTGTTATAGTGACAAGAGGAAACAAATGTAAGCAGTTCCTTGTATAGGCCACTTCCAAGATCCCTCAAATGTGTTCTTGTGATTGTATATTTTTGTAAATTTTGCAAAATTAAAATATTTTAATCACCATCGATGAAGATAGCTGCCTCTCCCTGCTCAGACTTCCTGAGATGTCCTCCTCTGCTTGAGCAGCACTAGGTGACCACGGGCATTTTTGGGTCCTGGCTAAGCAGAGAAGTTAGGGATACTTTGGTTTGCATTTAGTGGGATATATTCATGTGGTCTATTCCAAGCAGCATGGAGATGTTGCTGGAGTGTAAGAATAGTTCCCAGGAAGATCCCCAGGGCCCGCTGTGTCAGAGTCCCCAGGTGTGGTTGACATGAAGGAATCGTAAAATATGCATAGCAGGCAGTTCATTCCCATTCTCATTGGAAGAAAACAACCTGCCATCACCGTCCCTAATTTTTAAAGAGTGAACAAAAGCAGTATTTGTTGAAGAGGAAGAGATAAATTTTCAGAGAAATGATGAACAGACTGTCAGATCATCCGATAACCCGACTGATGAAGCATAAATTGTATAAACACAATGAGGAAAGGTTTTAATTCCCTGCTGGTTTGATACAGTTTACAGGCATCAGCAGAGATATTAAAAATAATGACCACAAAGAGTCATCACTGACCTCAATGACAGATGGATTAATGTGTCATCAAACTGAAGGGTAATGTTTGGGATTAGTCACTGCATAAAAAACCCAAAATTCCCCGAAGCCTTATAATTCTCATGTGAAAGAAATGTGATAGAGATTTCTTCAAATTTGGCAACAGTCGAAGCACTTACATGACCTCATCAAGAACAAGCTAGACTGGGCCAATGGCCCTAGAATGGATGGAGAGACTCCCCGAGGGCGGCTTGGTGGGGTGAGGGGGCCTCAAATCGGAGGAGCGATGGTCGCTGTTGTGCAGGGGACGTCACGGGGGGGGGGGGGCGAATTGGTAAACTAACAACAGAAAAAGGGTTTGCACGAAAGAATGCTGCAGTAAATAAACTTTTTAGTTTTGACTGTACACACGTTGCAGTTAAGTCAAACAGTCCTACAAATTGGGGCGTGAACATTTGTTTGCAAACAAACCCAGGGTCATATTTTGGAATAAGAGCAGCCAGCCATTCGTTGCTATCGCTAACATGTCAGTTTGGGTTCCCTGTTAGATCCGCCTCGCAGCCAGCAGCTATTAATTGATGTTTATGGCACCTAATACAACTGCCCTTGCCTTTGAAGCCTCCATTTAGCAGAAAGTGGGTAGGACGTATATGTAGAAAAGGAGGTGAAAAGCGCAAAATGCTCCCTGGGCTCAGAACGGAAAACCTTGGCAGGTTGTCTTTTTTTTCTCTAGCTGGGAACTTCGCCTCCTCTGGAGCCGGCCGAGCCGCTGGGCGGGCCTCCCACCTGCAGGGGGCGCGCCGACCGCCGCGACGCGAGTCCGCTCTGGCCAGGGGCTCCGCGCGCTTCTGTGGCCGGCGCCTCCTCTCCCGCCGCCCGGAAGGTGCAGCTCCTGACGTCGCCGCTGTTCAGGTCGCAGGTACCTGGGCCGGGGCCCGTGGGCAGCAGCTGGGTGGGCGCCACGGATGCGGGCCCCGAAGGCCCGCAGAGCCTGGTCGGTCCGCGGGGACAGCCGGGCCAAGGAGGCCGTCGCGGGTCTGGGTGGCGTCCTCGCGGGCGGAGCGGGCGGCGAGGCCGGGGACAGCGCGGCGGGGGCAGGTCGCTCCGGGGACCCGCGGTTGGGCGGGCGGGGCCTGGGCGCCGTCGGGAGCCTCAGGGTGCAGTGGTGACAGCGGGGTTCGCACACCTTGCACTGAGGCCTCGCATTGCCCAGACGCAAATCGGTTCTCTCCAGGTTTTCCAGCACTATCTCGAGAAAAAGGGTTTCTTCTTTAGCACGCCCCGCGCTCTGTTCAGAATTGGCCTTGGAACATAATAACTGAAAAAGATATACCACTGAAAGCTGGACGCGGTGGCGGCACCATTGTAATCTCTGCACTCAAGAGAGGCTGAGGCAGGAGGATTGCGCGATTTCGTGGCCAGCCCGGCCTACATGATGAGTTCAAGGATAGCCTAAACTATGTAGCCTGAGACTCACTTTCAAAAAACAACAAAACAAAACCATTGAACAGTAACACTTCCAACTCCTCAAAAAGTAACAGCAGGGGCCAGGGATTTAGCCCAGTGGTTCCTCCGCCTGCCTCGAAAGCAAGGTCCTGAGTTCGATACCGGTACAAAAAAAAAAAAAAGTAACAGCGTTATCTAGTCCCTTGTTGAAGAGCTGGTGTGGGGGATGATTTTTATATTACAGGAATAGCAGTCTTTAGTGCTTGTTTTGTGTTCAAACATTGTGTCATGTGATTTAAATGTTACTACCTTAATTTAATCATTGCAGCAGCCGTATCTGGCACCATTTCCAGCTTGCAGAATAGGAAACTGAGGCACAGAGAGCCAAAATTAACTTGTCCAAGGTCAGACAGCAGGGAGAGGATGAGCTAGATTTGAGTCTCATTTCATTTCTCTGTTTTCTCCTTGCTACTGTTACCTATCCAAACTTGGTCATGTTCTGTGCAACTTTTTTTTCTTAATTTGACTTGTAGCCTGAATTGATTGCTCTCAGACATAATGTTCATGGCTGTATGCAAGAGACCTGAACTAGCAAAAAAAAAAAAAGTTTACTAGTTAAGGATTATAGTGATAGTAAGTTAAAATTGTACTGAGGTCCTCACTACATCAGTCTAGTTTAATTTGAAGTAGAGACTGGTGTGGTTGGTTGTAACGTGCATCATTACTTGTGAGCTTGTTTTAGTGAGCTCACTTTACCTTTGCAGTGTTGTTAGCAGCATCAAAGGGAAGGCCAAGATTTTTCCAGGGCAGTAAGTTAATATTTTACGGGATATAGGAAAGGCATTGGAGAATGGCCGTGAAATCATGAGTGTCCCAACTCTTTTCACTTTATCAGGATTTAACAGTTTGCATATTCAGTCTTCACACAGCAAATATGTATGCACTCTACCTTCCCTGGGCAGGTGCTGTTCCAAGCACTAGGGAAATACGAGTGACCAAAACAAAAGTCCTTGTCCTCATGAAGCTAACATTCCACTGGAGGAAGGTGAGGACAATCAACAAAATAACTTTTTAAGAATTAAAATATGGGGCTGGGGATTTAGCTCAGTGGTTCTGCCGCCTGCCTCGCAAGCACAAGGTCCCGAGTTCGATCCCCAGTACCAAAAAAAAAAAAAAAAAAGAATTAAAATATGTCCAGTTGTAAGGATTGCAAAGAAGAAAAATAAAGCAGTGAAGGGGAATAGGAAGTGCCAGATGCGGTTGTAGATGAGGAATGGTGCGTGGAGAGCACTCTTAATACTAAAGGAGTGGGTGACGCCTGCGGTCATCAAGAGGAGGAGCAGACCAGGCAAGTGCAAACCCAGGTACCTTGCTGACCGAGGAGAACCAGCAAGGACCCTGTGGGTTTGAGCAGGAGGGAGGAATATGGCCAGAGACCTAAAGGGTAAAGACTGGCAAAGACTTTGACCCTGACAGAAAGGGAGGTGGTTGGAGGGACTTGAGCAGAGGAATGAGGAGATCTAACAGATCTTTGAAGGATCGCCCTGGCTGCTGTGTCCAGAATGGACTGTGAGTTCGAGAATGGAAGGAGAGACCCATTAGCAGGTTGGTGCAATGATGGTGGCAGTGACAGAGGTGCCATAATCACCGCTGCTCACAGGGGGTTTGTTCTAAGACACCCAGTAGATGCCTTGGATAGTTCTGAACTCTGTGTACAGTATATGCATACCTGTGTGTCTTGTATATGCATACCTAGGACAGAATTGACTGTGAATTGGCATAGTAAGAGATTAACAGTAATAAAGTAAAGCAATTATACTGTAATAAAACATATATGAATGGGGTCTCTTGCTTTCTCTCAGAACAGCTTATTGTACTGCACTCCTCATTTTCTTGTGATGGTATGAGATGATACAGTGTCTGTGTGGTGAGAGGAAGCAGGTGAATGTCACAGGTAAGTGACAAGAGAGACCTGAGAGAAAAAAAAACCAGTTAGCATTGTGATGCAAGCTGCTACACAGAAGTTCCCTGAGAATCAGCACTGCAGTCCCAGTGATAGCTGAGAAGGCTTCTGAGTAAGGGCTGGTTGTGTATACCAAGAGGATACGCTGGATGAAGAATGATTTGTGTCCAGTTCGGAGCAGATTGCTTGAAATTTCATCACATTATGCAGAATAGTGCTTGAGTTAGAATTTAGGAATTATTTCTAGACTTTTCCATTTAATATTTCAGACTGCAATGGACTGGGTTATTACAATAGGAAAACTAACCTTGGATAAGGGAGGCCTACTATCGTAAGAGACTGTCCTACTTTGGATGAATCAGACAGGATTTGCTGATGGGTGGTTGGGCAAGAGAAAGTGAGTGGGGCTGGACTCATGGCCTCAATGCCATTGCTGATGGGGAGATGGCGAGGACTGAGGGTGGGGAGGCATTGGGAGGTGGGTGGAGCAGGAATCGGTTTAGTTTAGTTAGGGCTGATATGCTGTGGAGTTATGAGTTCAAGGGAGAGGTCTGAGTAGAAATAGAAATTTGGGAATTGTTAGAAGAAAGCCATGGGACTATGGATCTAGTCAGAGAAAATGAGGATTGAGCCGTGTGTGTGGCTCTCTGCATTCAGAAGCTGGTGTGATGAGAGCCTCAGAGGAGGCTGAGGAGGAGAATCTTTTGAAGGGAGAAGGGAAAAGTGTGATTGTGGAGTGCTGAAGGCCAGAGGGAGAGTTCCAGGGGGAAAGTGATCAACCATATTGCTTCCCATGGATTCCACAAGCCAGGTGGGATGGAGACGAGGAGGTGATACTGGGCTTAACCAGGAAGATTATTGGTCACCTTGCATGAGCATTTTCAAGAGAACGGTGAAGTGAAAAACCAGACTGATATAGCTTGAAGAGGGACGAAGGAAGATTTTTCCAAGTGGAATTGAAAATTGCAAATATTGGGCAAGTCTTTGGGGGAAAACTAACTGAATCTTTTATATAGAAATTATTTGAAAGCAGTGTAATCATTTCCACAGTAAATTTTTATTTCTAACTTAAGCTACTTAGCAGCTAAACTTGGACTATATTAGCAAGTCACTGGTAATAATAATGCAGAATTAACTTGTATGTTAGGTATGAGTTAGTGAGTCCAGCCTATACAGACAGGAGATTTAAGTTCTACCTCTTGAAGAGAAGTGTATCAAAGAATCTGTGGGCATATTTTTAATCCCCACACTGTACTTAGCTAATGATATGAGTAGTTCATAGAAAATTCAAGAGAACCTCTAGTTGTATTCCTAGAACTAGTGAAGAGTTCAACAAGGTTGCTGATGTGAAATCAACATAAGTGCATTCATTTAGTAGTAACCAAGTTAAAGTTGAATTTTTCAAAAGACCCCAATTGTAGCAAATATAAAAGCAATAGGTTACTTAAAAATAAAAATTTTTTAAATGTCTGATACTTTCATGGAAAAACAAATATTAAAAGATAGCAAAGAATACGCATATGTTTATGTTCAAGGGTGGGATGACTCAGTGTAGTAAACAAAAATGTTAGTAGGGTCTGTGTGACACATGACAAAGTAATCCTAATGTCTAGATGGAGTTAAAAATGGCAAATAGTAGGTAAGGTGATTTTGAAGAACAGATTAAGGAGACTCACCATATGAGACATCAAGGACTATTGTAAAACAAAAGTAATTAAGACAGTTTGCTATTGAAACATATATATCCCATAGACTGATGGACAGAACAGCTGTGTTAGAGCTACATTGTTCAGTATAGTAGCTGTGACCATATATAGCTTTCTGTTACAGCTTTTTGAGACAGGATTTCACTATGTAGTTCAGGCTGGTCTTGAACTCATGTGTAACCCAGGCTGGCCTTGAACTCACAGTGATCATCCTGCCCCACCCTCCCAAGTGCTGCGATTATAGGCATGTACTGCCCATATGTCTATTTTGTACCTAGCATTAATGATGGAAACACTGGTTCTCGGCACTCTGATGTTCTGGTATTTAATACTGTTTTTTAAGTATTTTTGATATATCTTTGTTGGGGTTGCATATTTTTTTAAATCTTAAATATTTTATCTGCTGGGGTGCCTATGTTTGCTTAACAGTGTTCTTCTGTATTTCCATAATCTCAAGAAAGAATTGTCAAAGCAAAACTTTTATTACAAAAGCTCAGAGACTTTCCAAGCAAAGTTCCAAATCGGATATACTGATATTAATTCATGTAATCCTGTTGAAATTAATAGATGAAATTGGAAATTTTTCTTTGACACAAAAGCTAATGCTCGTTATCGGTAAGATTGTAGTTTCTGCAAAAATAAAGAAGTAATGAGAGAGAAAGATCCTAAAGAAAGAGATGGAACATTTGAAGATGAAGGAATCAGAAGATGTAGAATTGGAGTACTATTATGTTGCTTCTAGTTAACATAGAGTTTTCAGCAGCCTGAAAAATTTTCACAAAAAATATGTTCACCTGAGTTTAGAAAAATACTTGGTATGCTAAAAGAGCAAAGAAAATGGAAAAAAATATCCTCAATTCGAATCACAAAAAGCAAAAAAAGAAATGTCAAAGTTAAAAACAAAGAATAAGGGCATCAAGTAAAAAACAGTAATGAATATGCTAGCTTATTAACCCAACTACAGCTATGAGCATTTTAAATGTCAGTGGTCTAAATGTACAGAGATTGTCAAAACGTATCAAAAAGCATGACCCCCCATGAATACATGAATCAAAACTACACTGTACCTCATAAATATATATATAAATATTATGTCTCAAAAAATAATAAAACAAGACGGTTATATGTTATCTACAATAAATACAGTTTAAAGCTAATTTCATGAATAGATTAAAAGTAAATGGATGTTTCACCTTCTCTTGCTGAGACAAAATACCTGACATATACAACTTAAAAAATTTATTTGGCACATGATTTCTGACCATGGCCTGCTGGTTCCAAGGCAGAAAAATCATGGTGGGCCTGTTCACCTCATGGCAGCGAGAAGTAGAGGCAAAGAACTCAAGAAGAGATATATTCTTCAGAGCCACCCCCACCCCACGCCACGTACTAGCTTTCTCTCACTAGGCCCCAGCTAACATTCAACTATTAACCCCAGTGGTTTTATTAATCTGTTGATGAGGTTAGCACCCTCTTGATCTAATCTTCCGAAAATCCCATCTCTGAACACATACGCCTTTTGGGAGGCATTTTTGGTCCACACCATAACTGATACACTATTTTTTTAAAGCTGTATCAGCCATATTAATTTCAGACAGAGCAAACTTCAGAGCAAAGGAAGTTAACAAGGATAGAGACATTATGTAATGATAAATGGGAACAATTCTTCAAGAAACCTAACAGTTTTAAGATATATGTGTCCCAAAACAGCATCAAAATGAGTGAAGCAAAAACTGGTATGATAGCAAGGATCAGTAGATGAATGTATTCTAGTTGGACACTTCAGCACTTCATCAGAAATGGACAGATCCAGCAGATGAGAAATCATTAGGACTTACTTGAACTTAGCAGCACCATTAATCAACTGAATATAATCGCTGTCTATAGACTACTTCATCCAAAGCAGCAGAACGCACATTCTTCCCAAGGTTACACGGAACAGTCGTCAAGGTGGATTCACCATAACCATGGCCATAAAACACCTCAACAAATGTGAAAGAATATAAATAATACTCTCTGCTCTCAGACCACTAAAGAATTGAATTAGAAGTCAGTAATAAAAGAATAGCTGGAGAATCCTCAAATTCAAGCTTGGAGATTAAGTAACATGTGCCTCAAAGAAGAAGCCTCTAGAGAAATTAATAAATATTTTGAACCAAATGAAAATGAAAACACAACTTATCAAAGTCTGTAGGATATAGCAAGAGCAGTGCTTAGAGGGAAATTGATTGCATGTGTTGGAAAAGAAAGATATAAAATCAATAATCTGAGTTTGCACCTCAAGCTAGAGAACAGAACAGTAAAATCTAAAGTGAGAAGATTTATAAGAATTAGAGTAAAAGTCAAAGAAATTGAAAATCAGTATAATCAGTGAAACCAAAAGTTGTTTGTTTTTTTTAAAGATCAATAAACTAGATAGGTGGAAAAAATGAGAGAGTATACAAACTACTAATACCAGAAATGACAAGACACCACTTAAGAGCCAATGGATGTTAAAAGACTAATAAAAGGGCCAGGGATTTAGCTGAGTGGTTTCGCTGCCTGCTGCACAAGTGCAAGGACCCAAGTTGGATCCCTCGTACCAAAAAAAAAAAAAGAATAATAAAAGAATACTGTGAATAACTGTGTCCATAGAGTTTGTAACCTAGATGAAATGGACTGGTTCCTTGAAAGGTATAGTCTATCAAAATTCACACAAGAAGAAATAGACTATCTGAATACGGCTGCGTCTGTCAAAGAAATAGAAAAAAAAATTAACCTTTTAAAACAGTACCAGGCCCAAATGGATTCACTGGTGAATTCTATCAAACATTTAAGGAAGAAGTTACACCAGTTGTCTACAGCCTCTTTCAGACCGTAGAAGTGGTGGAAATACTAACCTCATTCTACAAGGTCAGTATTAACCTAATACCAAAACCAGACAAAGACATTACAAGAAAAGTATAAGATGGTATTGCTCATGAATGTACATGAAGAAATCTTTAGCAAAACCCAACCATCTTAAGAATTATGCACTAACATCCATGGCATTCATCCCAGGTTTGCCAGGATGGTTCAGCATTTGAAAGTCAGTGAATGTAATTAATCACATCAGCAGGCTAAAAAACAAAATTCACCTGATATTCTTAAATCCAGAAAAAGCATTTAACAGAGTTCAACATTGACTCATGATAAAAAACAAAAACCTCAGTAAACTTGGAATGAAGGCAAGTTTTCTCAGTGCAGTAAGAAATATTTACACAAAGCCTAGAGCCAGCATCTTACACAATGGTGAGAAAATTGAAG